CCAGGCAAACCTCAGTCACATCGTCACCTCCCTCCCCCTCCGGACTTGCCAACAATTGAAGCAGGCCAAATGCAACTGGAAATCAAAAGCAGAAAGCTAAACCTTAAAGGGGATGAGAGACGCCCCATGTACCCCGATCCTTCCAGTATTCTTTTCCAACCAAATACTTATACGTGTGGTCCTAGCAAGTCTATTTAAGAATTTTTCTTCATCTTCTCAATCATCTAGTGGAGAAAGGCTTTCTGTGGATGGGATAGCATCTGTTCCATCAGACTATCAACTAAAGATGGGTGGGGACCTCACCAGCTTCCCCTGAATTCCATGCCCCTCCACACTCCTTTAAGGAGCCCCTTAGCCCTTGGTGTGGCTAACTTGTGTGTGCATCACCTACAGCTAAGCTGCTCAAACCACCTTAGCATGCCCACCCCCCAAGGACACAGGCCCTGGGTGGGGCACACAAACCTGCCCAGCTTGGCACCCCAGGAGGTTCAGTGCCCAGTACACCATCACTAACCCTACACCCAGAACCTCAGGCCCTGAGAGGTTATGGGGACAACCCAGAATCAGAGCTGCCTGGCAAATCTCCAACAGCCCAGGATAAAGAGTTGAATTGATAAGGTCGGAGATGGCAGCCCAGCAACCCAGCCAATCAGAGGACAAATGAAAGCAAGACACGTCTGGGGTCATAAAGTGGGTGAGCAGAACACCAGGCCAGAGCCAGCTCCCACCACAGGGGGCCAGCCCTAGGAGAGGAGAAGCTGGGGGAGGCTGGAATTGGTATCCTAGCATCGTCTGTGAGTCTGTACCTCAAGAGAACCACACCTCTGAGTCAGACCTCAGCAACAGCAGGCAAGAGGGTAGAGAAAGGCAAAGATGAAGAACAGGAGAAGGCACTACGGAGGTAGAAGAGGAAAGCGAAAGAAGACAACATCAAGAAATGGCTTGCTATCAGGACACCATGACAAAGGCAAGGGTTCCAGGGGTGGCTGGCCTGTGGGGTAAGAAGGAAAACTGATCTGACTGTGAGAGCAGATTCCCAATTTGGGGATAGTGTGGCCCAAGAAAGACAAAAATCCAGCACTGGTGCAAAAAAGGAAAAATGCAAAGGTTATCCTAGGATTAGGAATAAGGGCAGGAGCCTGCTCAGAGTAGGAAAGGTGATGGGTTTAGGTTGATGCCTGTTAGGAGGGGCTTTGGTACAGAGGAGGCCTTTAAATCAGGAGACCCGATATTGCAGCTGGGCCTCCATCAGGCTGTGTGACCTTGGCCAAGTCCCTTCCCCTGTCGGGGCCTCAGTCTCCTCATCTGTATCACTAGGGATTGCACTGAATGCGCTCAGAGGTCCCTGCTAGCACTGTCGTTCTGAGGTTCCACCGACAGAAGCAAGGGCTCAGTCCTGGCTTACAAGTTTGTGTGCGAAGGAAGAACTAGAGGGAGGGGCCTAGGCCAGATTTGGTGGAGGAGAGAGAAAGCAGAGCTGTTCTAGGTCAGGGAGCTTGGCGGGGAGGGAGAAGAGGCTGTAGGGGACAGTGGAGAAGGCCGGCCCAGGCCCCGGCGGGTGAGAAGAGGAGGGAAGCGGCTGCGCGGGGAGGGAGGTGTAGTTCTGGAGGGAGGTGCTGTCTCAGATGAGGGGCTGTCCCGAACGGGCAAACGGGTGGGGGATGGGGGAGTGGTTGGGGGAGAAAAAGCAGGCGAGTGACCTGGGAGTGGGGCAGATCTGGAGGGAGGAGGTTACTCTGGGCCGGGGATAGGTGGAGGGAGGACAGGAGGGAGGTGTACGTAGGGGGACTCTATCTCGGGCAAGGTGAGGGAGCCTTCCCAGCTGCGGCACAGGCTGGGGGTGCGACCAGCAGCGGGACGGAGGGCTGGCCCCGGGAGTCCTGCGGGGGCCGGACGGGAGGGTCAGTCTGGGGCTGTCCCGGGCCTGGCTCGGGCCCCTCCCAGAGCTCCACGCAGGCCCCAAGGCGGAGGCGCGGGGAAAAGGGCCACGCTCACCTTCTCCTTCTTCAGTTTATAGGGCATCTCGGCCCGTGCGGACCCGGCCCGGCTCCTGCGGCCCCGCTCCGGCTCCGGCTTTGCTCGGCCACACTCGGCCCGCTCGGCGTCTCTTCGCCACCGCCTGCGCGCTGCGCCCGGGTCGAGCGGTGTCTGCGCCTCCAATTGGCCCGAACTCTTACAAACCTGCCTGACAACCAGGCGCCGCCTCCTCGGATTGGTCATTGGAGCCAAGCTGCTTCCTTTTTTTCTCATTGGAAAGGAAGAGTACAAACCGCCAGGGTTCGGCTCGCAGAATTGGCCGAAGTGGGAGGTCCCGCCCTAAAGTGGGTCGAGCTCAGCGAAGGAGGCGGGGGTAAGGGGAAGCCCCAGCTTAGCAGAGTGCCGCACTCCGGCGTCTGTTGTGCGTCGGCTTCGGCCATTCTTCGCAGCGCATTCTCCCCTATAGCGGCTCTCACGCTTTCCCTACTCTGCTGCTCCGCCCAGTCCAAACTGAAGGAAAGAAGCCCTAAAATGAAGGGTACCTTTCTTCATCAGGGTAACGTAGCACTAACTGCATACGCAAAATTGATTGAAATTGCTCCCAAGAGTCCTTGAGGGCATCCGTTTCCTAGACAGGGCTTTCAGAGGATCAAAGGGGAAGCCCGGAATACCGGGAGCTGGGTGAAATGAAGTGAGAATCCCGGATTTGTTGCAACTTTGGAAAGAGGGTCCCGTTCCTGCTGCAAGTGTCCTGCGATTGGGAACCAGACTTGAGCACTTGAGAACGCAGTAGCAAAGTTACCTCATCGCTGAGTGTCTCCGGGAAGTACATGCCTTACTCCCCACCCTGCCCAAGCCACTGCCCTAATGGATAAGACTAGTTTTTGCCCTCAAGGATTTCACAGTCTGGTAAAGTTCACAGACGTGTATAAACAGATGATTAAGATACAATGTAATAAGTTACACAAACCTAGAGGTGGCTGGAGGAATACCTTTCAGAAAGTGGATTCCAGTAGCAGATAGACTGACTACATGAAGAAACTAGAGAAGGCTCAAGAATAAGCCTGTTGTCCTTGCCCAGGAGAGCAAAGTAATAAGACAGTGGCCATCGATATGGAGAAGAAAGGACAAAATTGGGAAAAGCATAGAATCAACAGGATTTGGTGATTCATCAGATTGTGCAGAGGATGGTAAGGGAAAGGGAGGAGTCGAGGATGACTCCTGGAAGCTGTCAGAGAGGTAGGAGAAAAACTCCTGTCATAATGGCAGAAGAGTGGTCAGTAGTTTCAGAGTCCAGAAAAAGGTTGAGTAAGGTAAAGATTAAAAGCGTTATCTTAACTCTGCAGTTAAGTTATAGGTGATCTTTGCACAAAAGTTTCAGAGGAGTGGAAGGAAGGTTATAGCAGATTGAAGAATGAGCAAGAGGTATGGAGGTAAAGGCAACAACGTAGGCTCCTGGCTATCTTACAGAAATAGTATTTGGCTTTCAGTGACTAATGACGATTTCAAGTTAATGCAAAATGGACTGCGTGCCAACCATTATTTGCTTGAGAGGAAAGGACATTTATCTGTGGATGGATATTATGTGTATGAGTGCTGACCCCCAGGTGGGATACCAGATGTATTTACTCATTCCCAAGACCTCAAGGAACACCATAGTCCTGAGGCGTAGAGCTTGCCTGCTGCTGTGTAAAGCAGGTGTATCTTCTTTGGACCCACCCTACCATCCTCCCAGTCCTTGGTCCCTCTGGGAGGCAGGGGACAGAGCCACATAATAGTTTAGAACTACCAAATGGGAGCTTTCATCCCTATGAATTCAGGTACATAGTACATTCTTGCATGCTATTTTAAAGATGTGGAACTGGGCAATTTCTGGTTTAGAACTAAAGGTACTTCCAGGAACTATAATCAGATACTTAAAAATATTTTCCTGTCTCTCCAAGGGTAGAAATACTTTATAACATGTAAATCTAATATTCAGCTCTCAGATTTTCAGGAATGCATAATGTACAAAGTAGAAGACTGCCTTAAGATGTTCAGCTGTAAAGAAAAGGAGAAAGTTGCATAGTAGCTGGAAGAGAATGCAATGTGCAGAAAGACTAGATTGCCACCAACCAATCCATTGATTCTAGGTGCAGATATATTGCTAACGACTGGAAGTGTGGCCTACCAATGTCCAAGTGCCTTGTACAGAGCAGTAGAGGTGGAGACAAGGATGGAATCTAAGTAACAGCACAGGTGGGAAGCAAGGTGTTGGTTTGGTGCTCATGACTGAAGCCTTCAACCCCTTTCTTCTGGCTGCTCTGCTGCCCACCGCCCTCTAGGGTAGAAATAAGAAATGGGTCTCCAGCCTGCAAGGATTGATGGTGGGGAGAGCAACTGGGTTTTGGAGGGATGAAAAAGCTTTGTCTTCGTTTCAAGTTTAGTGGGAGGAGAATGAACAGGACAAGAAACACTGGAATGCGGGTTTTGTGTAGGATGTGTTGGAACAGGTGTGACAGCACCAAGCACTCCAGGGCTACATGAATCACATGTAGTAATTCATCCAGCAGCCACTACATATCCATAAAAACTGTCTGAGACAGTTTTATAATCCTACCACTCCCTCCTGCAGCCTTCCCCACAACCCCCAAACCTCAGTGCCTACAGTTCCACAGAGGGAACTGTAGGAGCTCCACAGAGGAGTGGACTCCTTCCTAAACACTCCACCCACGGTTCCCCGCTACGGGCCGAGTTGGTCCGGGGCACCCTGACCCTTCATTGATCATTAAATGAACTGTTAAGTACATGGGATGGGGTAGTTAAGAGGACGTTACTCCCCCAGCAGGAGCAGAAGGCAAATCCCCGTAAACACAATCTGAAAGGACGCGCGCGTACACTCAGTGATCGTGTTACCGCCGTCGAAGCAGCGTCGCATCCCGGCCAAGCCGAGGCGCAGCGCTCTCTCTCGGAGCGTGCTCCCTGCACCCGACGCCCCTCCCCCTTTCCTCGCACCTCCCCTGACGGAAGCGGAAACGGCGCGCGCGCCGCCTCGGCGCCTGCCTCTCCAGCCCCGGAAACCGCGCTCCCTCGCCTTCTGGTTGGTGTCCTGTCACCATGGCGCTGGCAGTTTTGCGGGTCCTGGAGCCCTTCCCGACCGAGACCCCCCCGTTGGCGGTGCTGCTGCCGCCCGGGGGCCCGTGGCCTGCAGCGGGGCTGGGCTTGGTGCTGGCCCTGCGGCCTGCAGGGGAGAGCCCGGCCGGGCCGGCGCTGCTCGTGGCGGCCCTGGAGGGGCCGGGCGCGGAGACCGAAGAGCAGGGGCCCGGGCCCCCACAGCTGCTGGTCAGCCGCGCGCTGCTGCGGCTCCTGGCCCTGGGCTCCGGGGCGTGGGTGCGGGCGCGGCCCGTGCGGCGGCCCCCGGCGCTGGCCTGGGCGCTGCTTGGCACCTCGCCGGGGCCCGGGCTCGGACCGCGAGTCGGGCCGCTGCTGGTGAGGCGCGGAGAGGTCCTGCCAGTGCCCGGACCGCGGGTGCTGGAGACGCGGCCGGCGTTGCAGGGGCTGCTGGGCCCAGCGACGCGGCTTGCTGTGACTGAGCTCCGTGAGCGGGCCAAACTGGGTCCGGAGCCTGGGGACAGCAGCCGGCCCCCACCCCCGCCCGTGGTGTCCTCCTTCGCGGTTTCCAGCACAGTCCGGCGACTCCGGGGAGTCCTGGGAGGGACTGGAGATTCACTGGGGGTGAGCCGGAGCTGTCTCCGTAGCCTCGGCCTCTTCCAGGGCGAATGGGTGTGGGTGACCCGGGCCGGAGAGTCATCGAACGCTTCCCAGCCACACTTGGCCACGGTGCAGGTCCTAGAGCCTCGCTGGGACCTCTCTGAAAGGCTGGGACCCGGCTCTGGGCAGCAGCTGGGAGAGCCCCTAGCCGACGGACTGGCCCTCGTGCCTGCCACTTTGGCTTTTAATCTCGGCTGTGATCCCCTGGAAGTGGGAGAGCTCAGAATTCAGGTATGATGCAGAACTGAGGTCAGGAATACTTCCTCCTCCTTATCCTCTCTTCTTTGTCTTAACTGAATTGGAAGACCAGAGCTGTAGAGTTCACATCCGTTCCACCTTAGATCTTGGACTTCTCACTTAATGTCTCTTAGCTTTATTTTATCCATTCTTTACATCAAAATATAATCCTCCATGGTGTGGTGGTGGATGAGAAAGGCTTTCATCTATTCAGGTGAAAAGTGAGATTCATAGTCAAATTACCAGGTGTGTATATTAATCTACTCAATCTAATCAGTTTGTGGAATTGCTACAGTGTATCCAGTATTATGCCGGGTAGTATGGAGGATGGTATCTCACTGCTTTTCTTTGGCTCCTGCTTATCCTTGGCTTCAAATTCCTTCCTATTCTTCTAGCGTCATGTGTTAAAATCCTACCATCCTTTCCTTCAAGGCCCATCTAAAGATGCCACCTTCACAAGGGCTGTCCTAATCTCACCACCACAAATTTAACGTGATTTCCTCCTATAGCGTTTTGTGCCTTTCTTAGGGCATTTATTTTATTCTGCTTTGTTATGAATATGTAATCTGTCTAATCTGCAATTATGTATTGTAAATTCCTTGAAGAGAAGGGTTCTTTGTTATCTCTAATGCCTGGGGTTTAATGTTAATATTTTATTAAATATATCCAAGAGAAGTTTTTGGTTTCTGCCTTTAAGGAGCTTACTTCAAGAAGATAATTGTATTTGAGGAGACAAATATAGTCCAGTGTTTAAGCACCTAGATGTGTGGTTGAGGCCTCCGCTGTCCAATATAGAAGCCACCAGCCACTTTGTGACTTTGTTAATTAATTAAAACTAAATAAAGTTAAAAATTCAGTTCTTCAGTTGCGTTAGTCACATGTCAAGTGCTCGATAGCCACATGTAGCTATAGAACATTTCTATCACTGTAGAAAGTTCTATTAGACAATGCTGGCATAGCAGTTAGTGCTATGGGATGTCAAGCAGAGACAGAAGATACGCATGAAAGGGAGTCAGGTGTGGGTTTCCTTCTGCATGGGGGAGAAACTACTGGTGTACTGAGACTGGAGCTCACTTAGCTGACCCAGCCCTTTCAGCTTCAGTTACCTTCAGACTGGAGCTCATTCAGCTGATCCAGTCCTGTCTGTCCTTTTCCCACAGCCTAAATTCAGAGTGTCTCCAGTAATGTCCACTTAATATCAATCCCAGTGGCTTCCTGGCGTCACTCAAAGGACTTGCGGGGATTAAATGTCTTTACCATTTCAGTGGCTCTGGGCCAACTTAAAGGTATCATAGAAAGGTTTTCTTTACTGAGAAACTTTTTTGGAGCTAGAGTCAGAAAAGTTAGAATCAGAAATCTCTTCCTAGTGCCCATTAGAAGGAGAGGTTTCTGTTTTCTAGGGAAGATATAGGTATTCAGCTCTGCCAGCCTAGGCCTCCCCTCCCACAAGCCTTGTGCCTATGGGAATGACAGAGGATGAAAGTAGAAATACTGGCTGCTAAGAGAAGGCAGAGCCTGACTCCTTGGGAGAAGGTTATAAGGTGGTGCTTATTTCTCTAATAGAGGTACTTGGAAGGTTCCAGCGCCCCTGAAGACAAAGGAAGCTGCTCAGTGCTGCCTGGGCCTCCATTTGCCAAAGAGTTACACGTCGAAATTGTGTCCTCTCCCCACTACAGCAGTAATGGAAATTATGACCACGTTCTTTACCGACACTTTCAGACACCCAGGTTAGCTGGTTACCCCTTTCAGGTGGATAGCATCTGACCTTCATTGCTCTCCTCCTATCCTGTGGTACCTACACCCAGACCCACAGAGCCTCTGACTTTAAAAAAGCCACCTTTTAGGCAATATTGTGGCTAGAAGCTTCTTGGTGTGTCAGGCAGACAATAGAAGAGAAATCTGGACCACGAGGTGGATCTGGACGTTCTAAACTGAGAAACCTCTTTGATTTGAGAGGGCCCCAAAAGAACCAGGATCCTGCTTCTCCTCTCTGATCCCCCTTTCTAGCCTCTCCGCCATTTCCCCCAGCTCATTCTAGGTGAGACTTGTTCTCTGGACAACTGCTTGGAATCTCTGGGTGGGCCGCAGGCCCCTAAGAAGTAGTCTGCGTGTTGGGGGTGGGAACGGGGAGAATGTGTCAGGTACACGATCTTGACTCCCACTGTGAGCTGACCAGGGCCTCTGCTGTGTTGCAGGGCAGTCCAGGAAGGGGATGTTCTGTGTGTGCCAACAGTTGGGCAAGTGGAGATCCTGGAAGGAAGCCCAGAGAAACTGCCCAGGTATGCAGCCACCTCGTGTCTTACAGCTGCGCTTCTTAACCTGGGTGCAGGAGTTCTTTGATCCTCTCCTCCCAGGTGGTATGGAATAATGTTGTGCACAAGAACATTTTGTTATCCTGTACATTTTTCTGGAGAGAAGGTACATGATCTTCAGATTCTCAAACAGGCACATGACTGAAAAAAGATTAAGAACCACTGCCTGCTGGCTTTGGGAGGTGTTTATCCTCAAATTGATTGGTGGTCGTAGGTAAAGGGAAGCTTTAAAAATAGCTTAATGGCCTCAACCAAGGTGAGATTCCTTGCTTTCCATTCTCAGCCACAGTGATATTTGGGCAAAGATTTGGGCCACACCTCTGGTATACTCAACATAGGGAGATCCAGGCTCCAATTTCTGCCCTAATTGATGCAGTGTGCACATACTACTTTTCAATCCTGTCTCCCAAAGAGGGGGAGTGAAGGATTGCTGCTGTCCTTGAGAGGCCTGCTCTTTCCTTGTCCTCAACAGAGAATGAGAAATAGAGCGTAACTGAGCCAAGAACTCCAAAACAAGGAGTACACCCTTCTCCTCCTGTTGACTCTGACCACAGAGGTAAAAAGAGGAGGCAAAGAATTCAGAGACTCCTTTGGCCTTATATGAAGGGGGAAGAATGTGTAGCCCCATACCCCAGCCAGTCCCTCTATTCAAGACCAATTTTCTGTAGGGGTTTACCAGAAGAACACTGGTACACACGCTAACTCAACTTTCAGGAAAATCTCAGTGAAGTGGTGGGACTGCCCTGCAGGAAGCTGGGCATAAGAGCCGTCAGGACCAAAGTCCTTGGTGTTGACCATCCCTCACCTCAACCCAACCCTAATTTTACTCTAAAGACAGTGGTGGCCAAATATTTAGCCCCCACTTCCTCACTCACCCCCTGCAGTAAGCCCCAGCCAAGAGAGAGATGCCTTGTCTGGGGCGCCTGATTCATCCTTGGTCAACATTCAGAGCTTAGTTCTGGCCAGTGCTCTATCTCCCCAATCTCAGGGCTATGGTACCCAGGTGAAGGGCCCGGTAGTGCCCTGGGTAATCCCATTAAGTGCTCCACAACACCCCTTTGAGCTTTCCCAGATCAAATCTACAACTGGGACCTGGTGGAAAATGCCAGGCTGGCATGTATCAGTCACTTCCCACTTCTTTTTTTTTTTTTTTTTAAGATTTTATTTATTTATTTATACTATTTTATTTTTTTGAGGAAGATTAGCCCTGAGCTAACATCTGCCACCAATCCTCCTCTTTTTGCTGAGGAAGACTGGCCCTGAGCTAACATCCATGCTCATCTTCCTCTACTTTATATGTGGGACGCCTGCCACAGCATGGCTTGACAAGCGGTGCATAGGTCAGCACCTGGGATACGAACCCCAGGCCGCTGAAATGGGATGTGCGAACTTAACCACTGCGCCACCAGGCCGGCCCCTAAAGATTTTATTTTTTATTTTTTTATTTTTCCTTCTCCCCAAAGTCTCCCCAGTACATAGTTGTATATTTTAGTTGTGGGGTCCTTCCAGTTGTGGCATGTGGGACGCCGCCTCAGCATAGCTTGAGAATGGTGCTGGTCCGTGCCCAGGATCCGAACCAGCGAAACCCTGGGCCCCTGAAGCAGAGCACGAACTTAACCGCTCAGCCATCAGGCCGGCCCCCTCCTTCCCATTTCTACCTCCCATCCTAAATATTGCAAATGTCTATGAGCTAGCTTTTTGTAGGAATACTATAGAATGCCCATCTTTTGTACTTTCAAAGGAAAACAGGCACTAGGCCCTCCTGAGACAGACCAGCAGGCCAGTTCTGCTCCTGGACCTCTGCTGTTGCAGCCCTCTAGAGATCTGTCTCCCTCCTCTGGGTGCTGAGTGCATAGTTCTTACCCCTGAGCAGATCCTGGAAAGCAGGGTTGGGGTGGGCAGGTGGATCCAGGGCCACATAAAGATGAGTGCTTTAGCCTGCATCCCAGCCATGGTAAGGGAGGCCCTGCAAGGAGGCTCCTGTGATCTTGGAAAAGAGTTCTGCTGTTGGTAGTGTAGCCTCTGCAGACTCTCCCCTGTGTTCTGCTGCCCAAAGCCAGGCCAACGAGATCCAGCTTCACACTCTCCCATCTGGCTCTTGGGACACAACCCACTCTTCCCCAGCAGTGTGCAGATGTGTTCCAGAGGTCTGGCCTTGTTCTCACCGAGGTGGTCTAACCACCCTCCATGGGAGAGGGAGTCTCCCCAGCCCCCCACAGGGATGTTCCGCCTTGGATTCCAGTGCTTTCCAGATGCACTCTGACTCAAGATGCTTGGCTTGATTGGGATTCTAGGTGATAGACCCACTTATCATTTATTTATAATGAAGAACACTAGGACACCATTTTCCTTGTATTCTAGTTTTTACCACAATCACTGCCTACAGTAATAGTTGCAAGAATTTCATAATACCTGGTATGCTTCCCCCCTCCACCTGGAGGCACTCCCACCCCACCTTTGCTGCCAGGGGGAGCAGCTTTGTGACTGTGGGACACGGTGAGCAAAGGAATTTGCACCCTGATTTACCTTAAGTAGGCCCAGGTCATAGTCTAGCTGTGTCATTGCCTTGCTGCATGAGGATTAAAGTAGGGAGTCGCAGGGCTGGCCCCATGGCGTAGTGGTTAAGTTCGGTGTATTCCACTTTGGCGGCCTGGGTTTAGGGGTTCGGATCCTGGGCACGGGCCTACACCACTCATCAGCCATGCTGTGGTGGCGACCCATATATAAAGTGGCACAGATGTTAAATAAATAAATATTGGCACAGATGTTAGCTCGGGGCTAATCTTCCTCAAGCGAAAAAAAAAAAAAAAAAGGGAGAGTGGCTCATTATTTCTCTATGTGGAAAATTGGGCTAGTAACTGCTACCTGCTACCCACCCTCGGCCCCCTTAGTAGGCTGAGTAACACGAACTCACTCGGATACTAGCCAGTGACTGCACAGCCCTGGTTATGGCTGGGGGAGCTTTTGAAAAATACAGATGCCTGAGCTGCACCCCAGAGCTATTGGAGCAGAACCAGGGTGAGGCTGGGCCTGTGCAGTCTTTTTATTTTTTTCCAAAAGAGGGGAAAATGTTAATTTTTAAATTGAGATATAATTCACATACCATAAAATTCATGCTTTCAGAGTGTACAATTCAGTGGCTTTTAGTATATTCACAAGGTTGTTCAACCAACACCGCTGTCTAATTCCAGAACGTTTTCATCACCCCAAAAAAGAAATCCCCACCCATTAGCAGTCACTCCCTATTGCCTCCTTCCCCCAGCCCCTGGCAACCAGTAGTCTGCTGAATGGAATCCCACACTATGTGAGAGATGTTGTAAAAGTCTGACCAATAGTTCTAGTGTGGGTATGTGTTTGAGGGAGAGACTGTACTCTGAAGCCAGTGGAAATGGTCAGATGCTCATCACTTGGTGCAGCAGTAGCTTCTCCCATTGGGCTGAGTGGGTGGGCCCTTTACCTGGAGAAACACCCCCCCCCAAGGCTCTCTGATGGTTGTCCTGAGGGGTGCGGAGGACAGGCATAGCTTCCGCCCCCGAAATGTATATGATCCAGTCAGGGAGATAAGAAAGACCGTCTGCTTTCCTTTCCCCCTACTCCCCTGCCACCGTGTCTGAGGGCATTTATCTGTGCTGCTCTTGTCCCTGCAGTGGCCCTCTGTGATTCAGACAGCCACCTTTCCTTGGAGAGGGGTGTATGTGGGCTCTGGATAGGGGGTTCATTGGGCCTCTTTCCTGCAGGTGGCGGGAGATGTTTTTTAAAGTGAAGAAAACAGTTGGGGACGCTCCGGATGGGCCAACCAGTGCCTACTTGGCCAACACCACTCATACCTCCTTGTACTTGGTGAGGCCCTGGGGGTGGGAGTGGACCTGGGGAAAGGAGCAGAAACAACTTCTAGAAACTAAAGCTTCCTCCCACCTTTCACAGGTGGGTTCTACCCTGAGCCGTGTTCCAAGGCTCCCTTCAGAAGAATCCACTCCCTGGAGCAGCTTGTCTCCTCCAGGCCTGGAGGCCTTGGTGACTGAACTCTGTGTTGCCCTGAAGCCTCGCCTCCAGCCAGGGTGAGTGAGGGCACTACCTCCGGGTGTGAGAAAAGCCTGCTTGGAACATCCCTGGAGGGGCAGCAGGCCAGACAAGTAGTCTAATGCCCTGGCCAGAGTGGGATTGGGTGGACCTCCCTGAAACCAGTATGCCCAGGCCAATAGCCCAGGTCCTTTTTGTAAGCAAATTCCCAGGCTCCTTTCCTGGGATAACCTCCCTTCTCCAAGGTCAGCTATGGGAGAAGACTCTTCAACAGGCACAGCTGTCTCTGAGACTGCCCTTCCCCTTGGGGAGCCCACCAGCTAACCTGGCCTTCACCACTCTGGCCCTGAAAGACACAGCTTCTTAACCACTGGCCTAAGTGTAGACAAAGCCCCCTCCCTAATTTCTGTCAATACAGTCCAGACCAGACATAACAGTCAAGGCCTTATTGAAGGCAGTGGTGACAAAAGGGAATTAGTCCCTGCCCTGCCAGAGCACCATAGGTGGTGTGGGAAATACGGCCTCACCATGTGGAGACAGCCCTGGGGGAGAGGGGGTGTCTCAGGGAGAGAAACAGGGTGTCTGCCTTCTAGATCCAAGGGTCCCTGTTTTACTGGGGACTCTCAAGTGGGAGCAGAATGGAGGAGACAAGTGTCTGTTCTCTGGTTGCAGGTGTGCCCTGCTGACAGGAACTAGCAGTGTCCTTCTACGGGGCCCCCCTGGCAGTGGGAAGACCACAGCAGTTGCTGCAGCCTGCGGCCGCCTCGGACTCCACTTACTGAAGGTAGGGTTCCTGGAGAGTAGAACCCCAACTATGTCTCCTCCCAAGATCAGATGCTCCCTCTCTCCCTCTCCCCTCTGCCTACTAGCCTGGCCCTAATGCCTCAGCCCAGTGGGCCAGTGAGTCAGGCGTGTTCCCATGATGCTCAGCTCCTGAGAGATATTTCAAGAAGGAAGGGGTTTCAAGAATTTGGTAGATTGCCCAGGGAATGAGGTTAGGGTAAAGAAGAGATAGGACTCGGCCAGTATTACCTTCTTCCCCCATCCCTGCCTTCCAGAAAGAGATGGCTGCATCTTCTTCTGACATCCACCCCCACTGACGCCTTCTCCTGCCCTAGTCACACCTGCCGCTTGCTCACAGACCCATCGGCACCCCCTCCCCAGGTGCCCTGCTCCAGCCTCTGTGCAGATAGCAGTGGGGCTGTGGAGATGAAACTGCAGGCCACCTTCTCCCGGGCCCGGTGCTGCCGGCCAGTGGTTCTGTTGCTGACAGCCGTGGACCTTCTGGGCCGGGACCGTGATGGGCTAGGTGAGGACGCCCGTGTGGTGGCCACGCTGCGTCACCTCCTCCTCGATGAGGATCCCCTTACCAGGTATTCTACGGAGCTGGGCCTGTAAGGGGTGAGGCCCAGCCCTCCTCCCTCTCAGCCTTTCCTCCTCTCTACCTCACCCCCTCAGTGGCTTCTCAGACATCTAATGCCCATTCGGCTGCCCTCCAGACAGTCCTGAGCTGAGGAACTTAGGGGTACCCAGAGGGAAGAGGATGCGGTCCCCAGTATTTCTTGAGGAACACTAGGTTGGAGAAAAAGTGCAGCCTCTGCCCTCAGTGAGCTCCCTGTGTGAGGGGGAGCATAGGACCCCTTCTCAAGGTATTCCGACCCCATCCAGGAAGTTTTGGGGTGCTCATCTTCCTATCCTAGCACCCACCCACCTCCCTGCCCTCCTGCACCAGCCTCAGGACAAGGCAGTACTCAGGGCTGCCAGCCACGTTGCTGCCCTTAGCGCCCACTCCCCGTCTGCAGCTGCCCTCCTCTCATGGTTGTGGCCACCACGAGCCGGGCTCAGGATCTGCCTGCTGATGTGCAGACAGCGTTTCTTCATGAGCTGGAGGTGCCTGTGCTGTCAGAGGGGCAGCGGCTCAGCATCCTGCGGGCCCTCACTGCCCACCTCCCCCTGGGCCAAGAGGTGAACCTGGCACAGCTGGCACGGCGGTGTGCTGTAAGTACCACTCAGTCCTGCCACCCTGCAAGTGAGGGTAGAGAAATCTGAGGCCTCAACGGTGGTCCTCTGCTCCAGCTGGGGGACCAACCCCCAAGGGTTCTTGCCTACCGTGTCCTCTTATGTGACCTTCCCTATGGTTCCCTAGGGCTTTGTGGTGGGGGATCTCTATGCCCTTTTGACCCACAGCAGCCGGGCAGCCTGCACCAGGATCAAGAACTTGGGGTAAGGAACTTGGGCTTAGGAGGGGAAAGGTGGCAAGAAGAAATATGGGTCGGTTGGGGGCTGGTGAGGAAGACAGAAGGGAACAGGACTCTGCTGGGGAAGAGGCCTTAGGTCAGGTCCTCCAGAGGCCTCCCTCTGGGTTTCTCTTTGCAGTTTAGCAGGGGGCTGGAGTGAGGAGGATGAAGGGGAGCTGTGTGCTGCTGGTTTTCCTCTCCTGGCTGAGGACTTCGGGCAGGCGCTGGAGCAGCTGCAGGCAGCTCACTCCCAGGCCATCGGAGCCCCCAAGGTAGGGACTCCAGGTCCTTGGAGGGAGGGCCAGAGCTTCCTCCACCAGCAAGTCCCCAACTGTGCACTTTCCGTCTCCTAGATCCCCTCAGTGTCTTGGCACGATGTGGGTGGGCTGCAAGAGGTGAAGAAGGAGATTCTGGAGACCATTCAGCTCCCTCTAGAGCACCCTGAGCTGCTGAGCCTGGGCCTGAGGCGCTCGGGCCTTCTGCTCTACGGGCCTCCTGGCACTGGGAAGACCCTTCTGGCCAAGGCAGTAGCCACTGAGTGCAGCCTTACCTTCCTCAGGTGGGGAGGGGGCCTAGGAGGGATGATGGGTGGATTGGGAGCTGCACCAGGCTCTGAGGAGCAGGACCAGGGGCTGGCCAGGAGATCATTGTGTCTTTATGTATCTGACCCTCTCACATCCCCTCCCTCAGCGTGAAGGGGCCCGAGCTCATCAACATGTATGTGGGCCAAAGTGAGGAGAATGTGCGGGAAGGTGAGTGAGTGGGGAGGAGCAGGGCTTCTAGCCCTTCCCAAACCCCAGTGACCCCTGTGCCACCCCCACCCTCAACCTGCTCATGATCATTCCTAGTCCTCCTTACCACAGTCAGGTTCCTGCCCAGTAGGGCCTAGTACCTGGAGTGCTAGTGAGGAGTTGTCGAACCTGGGTTTCCTGTCCTATCTCCTGACTTCACACCCCGCTGAGCTTCCCCCTCCTGTGGGCCCCTCTCTCTCCTCAGTGTTTGCCAGGGCCAGGGCTGCGGCTCCATGCATTATCTTCTTTGATGAACTGGACTCCTTGGCGCCAAGCCGGGGGCGAAGTGGAGACTCTGGAGGTGTGATGGACAGGTGAGGAGCTGGGCCAGAATGGAGTCTGGGGTGCAGGACGGAGGGACGTGAGACAGGCTGCAGCAGCCTTCAGAGCCCTTTCTGGTTTGAGACAGTATAACGGAAGCTGAAAGGGGCCATGGAGTTGGGTGTGGGACATTGAGGAGAATGGGGGCCTGTACAGAGGGGTCCACAGGGCACAACTGGACAGCAGGCCCTGTGGAGAAGACCTGCAAGGAGAGGCACCACAGGCAGGGGAAAGACTGAGGATGGGCCAAGGACTCTCTCGCCTTCGCTTCCTCCTTGGCAGGGTGGTGTCTCAGCTCCTGGCCGAGCTAGATGGGCTTCACAGCACTCAGGATGTATTTGTTATCGGAGCCACCAACAGACCAGACCTCCTGGACCCTGCCCTTCTACGGCCTGGCAGGTGGGCAGCCCATACCTCTCACCTGTGCCAGGCCCATTTAGGCCTGTCCCTTGACCCCATCCTGTGCCTCCTCCACCTCTCATGCTGGCTTCCTGACACTTATGCCCACCTATCTCCCTAAAGGTTTGACAAGCTGGTGTTTGTGGGGGTGAGTGAGGACCGGGCCTCCCAGCTCCGTGTTCTGAGTGCCATCACACGCAAGTATGCCCTGTCAGAGGGAGACTCCAAGGGCTTGGGCCTTGGGATGGTGAGGGGGTGAGAGCAATGAGAGAACAGGCTGGTCAGGGATGCCTTCTGAGGGAGGAGGGATGCCAGGGAAACTGTTTCTTTCTGTATCCCCACAACAGATTCAAGCTAGAGCCCTCTGTGAGCCTGGTGAATGTGCTGGATCGCTGTCCTCCCCAGCTGACAGGTGCAGACCTCTACTCCCTCTGCTCTGATGCCATGACAGCCGCCCTCAAACGCAGGGTTCGGGACCTGGAGGAAGGTGAGCCACTCGCCAGCTCCAGAGGTCAACAAAAAGCTAGTGGGCATCAGGCGCCATTCTGGATTTCAGAGGAGTCTGGGGGACTCTGGGCAGGAACGTACCTCCCACAGGGCTCTCCTCTGCTTGGGTATAGACCACACCCTGTTCCCCAGCTGGCATGGGACCTTGGCCTCACCTCCCCCTTGTCACCCGCCCAGGACTGGAGCCCGGGAGCTCCACCCTGCTGCTTACCATGGAGGACCTGCTGCAGGCCGCTGCCCGGCTGCAGCCCTCAGTCAGCGAGCAGGAACTGCTCCGGTACAAGCGCATCCAGCGCAAGTTTGCTGCCTGCTAGGAGCCGTCTGCAGTCTGGGGCCCCGCCCACAATGGCTAAAGGTACCTAGGGATCCCCACAGAGACCTGAAAGAGCAAAGAGCTCTTTCTCAGGCTGCTGCTGGCCCACCTGAAGGCTGCCTCCCTCCAGGAGATCCCCTGGGTGCTGAAGGGCATCAGGAGCCCTGCAGGAGCTCACAGGCACTCGCTGCGCCCCTGTGTGTCCTTCCAGGCCAGGCCTGAGACCAGGACCCCTCTGCTTGGGAGAGCGGTGGGGCTTGGAGTGTGGGGATTGGGCCCAGGGAGGCGGTTCTGTGACTGAAAATAAAGTGTATGCTGCCCCCTGCTGGTGCTGCGGCCTGAAAGGTTGGAGTAGGGAAGAGCAAGATTGCAGGAGGAGTCCCCAGGGGAGGGCAGAGTGGGCGCCACAGGAGCTTGGTCCTTCTGACATTTCTGACACAAACACAAGGCTGCAGGAACTGAAGAAGGCACTCACTATATTGTCCACCCCTCCGTTGGCCTGAAGCCAAATCCCTGGCCTGAAGCGGCAGTCAGCCCCTGCCCACACCCCCAGGATCTGCACCAGGGGCTGGGCTGGTTGTGGGGCAGCCGGTCCCCACCTCCCCAGACAGCCCAGCAGTAGACAGGGTTGTGGGAGCTGAGGCCGTGCTCAGTCCGTCCTCTTGAGCACGTGGATGAAATAGCAGGGAATGTAGGCCTGGCCCGGCTTGTAAGGCTTGAAGTCACCCAGGACACTGTGCTGGCACTTGCCCCCGAAGGCTGCTTGGAGCAACTCCGTGAAGGGCGCCAGACAGTGCGGGTAGTAGGAGAGCCGGAACTTACTGCAACAGAGCCCCCAGACCACCGTGAGGGCTGGTGGCTTCAGCAACCCCCACCTCACCCCCTGCCTAGCCAAGTGGGTACCTTAAGCGAGGAGAACTGTCCTGGCCAGCCCCCGGCACCTGCACCGTGTAGTCCAGGGTCACCATGTGGGCCTTATTGTTCACTGTCAGCACTGATGTCTTGATGTCCTTGGTCAAGTCACTCTATAGATGGTGATGCAGGCCATTAGCCTCTGCAACCACTGTGGGGCCTGGACCCCAGGCTCACACCTCCCACTCTGGGCCCTCCATCCCCCAGAGGCCCTACCTTATAGTAGATGTTCTTCCCTGGGGGTGCACAGCCTGTACTGAGGATGTGGTCATAGTTGCGATGATCAATGATCAGCAGGCCCCCTGACCGCACCATGCTCGCAATGTTCTTCAGTGCCAGCCGGTGCTCACTCTGGTCCCCTGAACTCCAGGCAAGGGCAGAGAGGCTGCATCTGCTCAGGGCCCCCAGTACCAGTCTCCCTCCCATCTCTCCTCCCCAGGGGTGCCAGTGCCAAAGCAGAGAGGGGAAAAGCAGTCTGCTCTGGCAGGAAAGCAGACGCCCAGGGGTCTGGGGAAAGGGGTACAGCTCAAAGCAAGCCATTCCCAAGGCCACACCTCTCACCTTTGCAGTCTGGCAAGTGGGCAAAACTGTTTCCAAGGCAGATGACAGCATCAAAGCCACCCTCTGGAGGCCGGGGCACATCTTTGTCCAGAGTCATCCAGTTGGCTTCTTCGATGACTGGGGGCCAGGAAGGGGAAGAGGGATCAGGGTGGCACCATGGTACCAGCAACACCCACTTCCACCAAGAGCTGTCCTGCCTCAGTTTCACCTTCAAGACACACCGAGGGACTCCCCATCCAGAGAGGGGGAGGAGATCATTATGGACTTGGAGGGGGAAGGGAAAAGAGACGTCGAAGGAGGAGGAAGCCATGGTTGGGAAGGAGGGCTCTTATGGGTTTTTATTTGGGGGGAGGAACAAAACACTATAAACATAGTTAAAACCAGCCCCTCATAACTGATTCCTCATTCTGGTGCCTAAGCCTCCCTTTTCAGGGAAATGACCATAATTTTGCTGTCCCCTTGAGGAAAACAAAACACCCTACCGCAGAAGCTAAAGGCGCCCAGGGCAGAGAGAACTGTGTGTGTGATGGCTGGGCTGGGAGGGCCTGGCTGGACCACGTACCCCACTTGTCGAAGGCGGGCTCGTGCCGCCGGTTCCAGCGCTGTTTGAGTGCGTACTTCAGCATCTTGTCACTGGCATCCACGCTCGTCACACTGAAGCCCTCTTCCACCAGCATGATGGAGTCCACCCTGGACAGGGCCAAGGATGAGGGGCGGGGAGGGCCAGTCAGAGGCCTGGGAAGGCAAGGAGGAGGCCCTGTGCTGGACCCTCCTGTCTCCTCAACTCTCCAGAGCCCATTCCTCTGCTTCCTCTCCACTGACCTCGAATGACCTGGCAAATCTGTTTCTTATCACCGGGTGGCAACCTTATTTTTGTTTTTTAGCACCTGTTGGAAGTCAGGCACTTTACAAACTGTGTATTAATCCTCATGGCAATCCTGTGAAGTAGATACTGTGTTACCCTACTTGAGAGAGGGGCAAACAGCTCCTGGAAGTGAGGTGAGCTATGCACAAGAGGTATATAGCACGGTGCTTTAGAGCACAGGCAACCACCTGTGCTACCCTAACCACCCTACGTCTGTATTTCCTCTCCACTAGAGGGAGGCCCTTGACTTGTCTGAGGCGCAATTTCCACAACTGTAAATGGGCTATCACCACCCTAATCCTGGTGGGGTTTTGTGAGGATTTTTCCTCAACAGCTCGTGGCACAGCACTTGGCAGGGGCAAATGTAGACAAATGTGAGCTGTTAAGGCTGACCAAGGCCACTACACAAGGAGAAATGCTGGAGCCAGGACGCGCGCTGACATCGGTCTGGCCCCAAAGCCCGGCTCTGGCGAACTGGCCCTTCCCAGCGCAATGTGCCCACACCTCGCTCTCACGCTGGGTCTCCTCGGCCCCCTCCTCCTGCCAGCCTCTCCCAGGCTCTTGCTCTGCCCCTTCTGCTCTGGCAGACACCCTCCCCTGGCCCTGGCAGCCCGCCCTGCCCAGCTCCGGGCTGGTGAAGGAGGCTGCTCTGACCCGGGCCGAGCCGGACCCCACTCCCCTGGGCCCCTGACCCTGCTCGGGCTCACCCGGTGCCACAGGCCACGTCGAGCACCCTCTGGCAGCCGTGCTGGCGCAGCAGCCCGAGCAGCCAGGCCTTATACTCGGCCGTGCGGCTGCGGGTGTCCCCGACATAGAGCTGCCACACGCGCGCTGCCTCCCCGTCCGCGTACTGGTCCGGGAGCCCTTCAGCCGCCACCCCCAGGGAGCGGGTCCGGTACACGCTGTCCACCATCCTGCGACGTGCCTGGGCTCCCGGCCGCCTGCTCCGCCTTTATACGATGGCCCCTCGGGAGGCCCGGCCGCCCCACCTGCCCAATGGCAGGTGAGCGCGGGGACACGCCCCTGCTGGGCTCCTGGCCCGGCGCCTGCCGCTGCCCGCGCCGCCGGGAGGACGCTGCCTCGCAATCCTGGACCAGCCCTTCTCACCGGCCTGAAGATCCAGGCCTCTAGACGATCCCATGGCCGGGAACGACTCTCCCGACCCCCTATCCACTTAGCTCAGGTCTCAGGAGGACCGGGGAGGGGCCAGGAGAGCCGGGAGCAGTGAGATTGCTCACTCCACCTCCACTCAAGCTGGAAAGAAAGGAAAGAAAACTTCACAGTCCACACAGAACTGAGGCCCAGGACTGGACCATCCCCAACGAGTGAAGATATTAGTGTATCTAGAGAAAGAATGTCCGACTGAAGGAGGCCTGGTCAGCTAGGGAAGGGAGGAATGGGGACTCTCTGGGGATAATGCAGGTCTGGCCATCCAAGTCCAGGAGCAGTTCCGGACCAAGGGATCACCCCACCCACCTGCAGGCAGGTGTTCCTCTGTCCTGTAGGTGATGCATCAAGCTTTTCCCTGAGCCACCCACGGCAGAGTCTGGTCCTTCCTTCCAACTCCCCACCAACTGGTCACCCTTCTAAAGACCATCTGCTTTCCTCCGAGGCACCGAGCCCACAGGGTGGGAAGTCCAGGGTCAGGGACGGGAGTGCTTGGTGTATTGTTCATTGTCACTTCATAAATTGCTCTTTTGGTTTGGTTAGCGTCCATCCACCCTTTCTCCCAAAGCAGAAGGTCTCAACCTAGGACAAAACCCTGGATTGAGGTGGATTCAGGAAGATGATGCCACCCAGCGAAGCCCAAAACAGCCAAAACAGACTTCCCCATCTGTCTTTGTTCTTCTGGCTTCAGAAAGAGGGAGTATGGAATTTAGAACAAAGGAGCCTCCCCTTACTTGTTTATTGTCTATGGAAGTTAGGAGCTGAAGCAACCCCAGAGATCATGTAATCACTGCTAACTTCCTATTTCCAGCACATGGCTTCAGATGGACTTGTCCATGTCCAAGCAACAAATCTTGTGCTCGCACTGACCCTGCAGACAGGTCTTTGGCGACAGACTTAGAAGGCACTGTGCTGGGGGGTGCAAGCAGGCCCAGAGTTTTCCTTTGTCAGAATATTCTGCAGGAAATCCTCTCCACCAGTCCTAGACTTTGAAAAGCATTTCATGTTAAGAGAATTATCCTCTCAGTGGTGGACAGCAATCTGGTGCTATGTCCTTGCATCGAGGCATAATATGCAACCACTTCTCTCTATGGGGTGGACTGTTTTTAAGTATGAGGGCGCCAAGAAAATTAGTTCCTTCCTTGGGTAGGAAAATGCATTCTTTACTTGAAATAAACTTGATATTTATTTTACCCTAAATCAGGAGGAAAGTAATTAATTGTTTGGCTATAAATTGATGAGCTGATGGTTAAATTGTTAATTAAGAATTTGGTCATATAAGAAATGAAATTTTAAGGAAAAATAGACCTATGAAATTATTTACTTTAGTGATTTTGGAGTTCTGAAATGCACTTAAGAAATCTGAAGAAAAATGAAGGATGATGTTAAATTGGAATAGCTACCAAAATGATGGGGAAATGATTTATTTTATTGGCTGGACATAAAATAGTTGAAAAGTTAAGTGGCTGGCCTGGGGCAATTTATTATTTTTTCCCTTACTATTGCTTTCTTTTTCATTTACTTTTGCCTCTTAACTCTCTCTGAATACATTTTTTTTTTTTTGAGGAAGATTAGCTCTGAGCTAACATCTGCCGCTAATCCTCTCTTTTTGCTGAGGAAGGCTGGCCCTGAGCTAACATCAGTGCCCATCTTCCTCTACTTTATATGTGGGCTGCCTGGCACAGCATGGGTTGCCAAGCCATGTCTGCACCCAGGATCCGAACCAGCGAACCCTGGGCCGCCAAAGCGGAATGTGCGCACTTAACCGTTGCACCACCAGGCCAGCCCCATGAATACATCTTTTTTAAAAATTTATTTTTATTTAAATTCATTTAATTTTATTTTATTTAAATATTTGGTTTTATTTAAATATTGATACTTATGATTTTTGAGAAACATAAAATTTTACCCACAGAACCATAATATGATCTTTTAAAAAAATATGAATGCCACTGGTAAATTTAGATTAGAAAAATTATAGGTTGTGAGTATCTTCTAAATATCCTTTCCAGGGGCTGGCCCCATGGCTGAGTGGTTAAGTTCATGCACTCCGCTTCGGCGGCCCAGGGTTTTGCTGGTTTGGATCCTGGGTGTGGACCTAGCGCTGCTCATCAAGCCACGCTGAGGCGGCGGCCCATACGCCACAACTAGAAGGACCCACAACTAAAATATACAACTATGTACTGGGGGGGCTTTGGGGAGAAGAAGGAAAAAATAAATAAATAAAATCCTTACTTTCCATTTCAAAGACAAGATTTTTGTTCTGAAGTTAATAATTATGTGATTTCTTTCTCATCCAGAGGCGTTAAAAAAAATGTCAAGATCATAGTGCACATGAAATTTCATGGACCTTTGTTTCTCTTTTATTTTTTCCTTTTAACTATCAAAAGCATATTTTCTTCGCTTGACCATAAATGATTTGGCCTTAAGCACCTTTTCGATGGCTATGCTGAGTAGCTGTGCTGCAACATGTTTAAGCATCCCCCAAGTTCTGGACATCTAAAGTGCGCCCACAATTAAGAGTGAGCATGTGCATGATTATGATCAAATCATTTTCCAAATGGAAAGTTTCTATTAATTGATACTGTCACCCAAAACAAATGTTTGTTTCAACTCTTCTCTACACGAAGATGTTATTTATTGACATTTCATTGGGTAGAAAATCATATCTAATTGCTGTAATCATCTTTAATTCCTACCAAAATGTACCAATAATTGCAGTCCTTCGTCTCTGAACTGTTTGCCCGTGTCCTCTGCTCAGTGACATATATTGAAACTGCCTTTTGCTTTACTTGATTAGTCCCTGTGAATTTTAGATCACTCAAATCTGAGGCCCTGGGTGATGGAAGCGGCCACAGAATATAAATCAATCTACAGTTTGACTTAATTGAAAATAAGAATAGGTGATTTTTTTTTTAAGATTGGCACCTGAGCTAACATCTGTTGCCAATTTGTTTTTTTTTCTTCTTCTTCTTCTTCTCCCCAAAGCACCGCCCCCCCCCCCCCCCCAGTACATGGTTGTGTATTCTAGTTGTAGGTCCTTCCACGTCTTCTATGTGGGACGCTGCCTCAGCATGCCTTGATGAGCAGTGCCACGTCCATGTGCAGAATCTGAAGAGGCGAAACCCTGGGCAGCTGGAGCAGAGCGTGCAAGCTTAAAGTCTCAGCCACGGGGCTGGCCCTAGAATAGCTGATTTTTTTTTTAAAGAAGCTCTTTTAATTTCAAAATACATACAAGATTTGTGTTTTACAGTTTTGTATTCAATTTTTCTTGTTGTTGAGGTTATGATAGTTTACAACGTTGTGAAATTTCAGTTGTACCTTATTTGTCAGTCATGTTATAGGCACACCACTTCACCCTTTGTGCCCACCCCACACCCCGCTTTCCTCTGGTAACCACTAATCTGTTCTCTTTGTCCATGTGTTTCCTTATCTTCCACATGTGAGTGGAGTCATGCAGAGTTTGTCTTTCTCTGTCTGGCTTATTTTGCTTAACATAATACCTTCAAGCTCCATCCATGTTGTTGTGAATGGGATTATTTTATCCAGAATAGGTGATGTTTTTAATATACAACACTTATTATTTGGAATTGGCTGAAAAGACTAAATTCCTCATCCCCAAATGTATGTGTTTGCAAAAAGACTTCCGCATTAGAATATGGCTGCACCTGGACAAACTTCAAGGCCATTCCTATTTGAGGACACAGGAAAATTCTAGAATTGTGAATTATGTATATACAACAACTGCAAATGGAAGATCTCCTGGCTGTTTTTGTTTTGATTCAGAACAGGCAGAAATTCATTTTTCAGAGGCTAGATGCCAATTTCCAAACTCCAGTCCAAGCTGCTGAAAACAACTGCTCTGCTGACGGTGTCTCCCCAGATTGAACAATGGGACGCTATGGGAGGGGTGGGAGCCCCCCACCCGCGTGGACTCTGCTAGCAGATTTATCACAATGGATCCCTTTTTGGATCCTTTAACATACCACATAAGACTCAATCTGCTTTAATAAAGTCCCTTTAAGTGAGTGTTAAATTGGTCCCTATATCAGTGGGTGGTAACGATAATTAATGGTGGCTACATTACTATCAAGCTAAGTGCACCTATGAGAATTCCACCAACATGTAAGGAGAGGTTCCCTTTGACCATTTCACACTTTGTTAAAAGCAGTTTTAAGGTATGCTAACTTCCAATAAGAGCTGGTCAGTATATGATCTGCTCACTGAGCTGTCTTCCCATGTAAAAATGATATGCTATCTGAGCCCTGGTAACAGGCTAAACATTGCTCATTGAAACAGGTGACTTAGCACATGCCATCATCACATCCTTTTTTTTTTTTTTTTTTGAGGAAGATGATTAGCCCTGAGCTAACATCTGCTGCCAATTCTCCTCTTTTTTGCTGAGGAAGACTGGCCCTGAGCTAACATCCGTGCCCATCTTCCTCTACTTTATATGTGGGACACCTACCACAGCATGGCCTGCTAAGCGGTGCCATCCGCACCCGGGATCCAACCCAATGAATCCCGGGCCACTGAAGCAGAACGTTCGAACTTGACCACTGCACCACGGGCTGGCCCCACCATCATATCTTGATGAGATGAGGAGTAAAATACCAAGACCACTTTGGTGAGTAATTCCTAACAAAATAGCATCTGGCTTTTTGAGTATATTTTTTGTTTTGTTTTCTTTTTGGCAGAGAACTTTTTATATTTTAGGGAGGTTTGGTGGTGATAGCTCCAGCACCCCTGGAGCTGGTGGTGGCATCAGCCTGTTTCTCTCCCTTCTCAATGAATCACAATCATTTTAATGGATGTTTAAATTCTGTTGGCTTCTACAACCTTCATAAATGGAGAGTACAATTTTAAAGAAAGAATGAATAAAATTGGATTCCTCTTAACGAAGTTGTAAAGAGAAGCCAGCCATTGAGGGCAGCATAAGAGTTAAGCTGGCTTTAAGCTATATGCAACTGTAAACTTTGAAAAGGGAGAAAGAGGGGCCGGCCCTGTGGCCAAGTGGTTAAGTTCACGCGCTCTGCTTCAGTGTCCCAGCGTTTCGCTGGTTCAAATCCTGGGAGCAGACATGGCACCGCTCATCAGGCCATGCTGAGGCAGCGTCCCACATGCCGCAACTAGAAGGACCCAGAACTAAAACATACAACTATGTACTGGGGGGATTTGGGGAGAAAAAGCAGGGGGAAAAAAGAAGATTGGCAGCAGTTGTTAGCTCAGGTGCCAATCTTAAAAAAAAAAAAGAAGAGAAGAAAAGGGAGAAAGACTAGAATGGTAACTCACTCCTAATTGCATTCCCAACATTAAACTCTGAAGACATAAATAGACCAATGGACAGCAGCTGGCCTGTCTTCTAGAAGAGAGAGCCGTGTAAGGGGAAGATGGTGTCCAACCCAACAAGCTGTAGCTGCAGGGTACTGTGGCATTCTGGCTATGCCCCAGAGCACTGAAGCCATTCTACCTGGGCTCATCACCTGGTTGGGCCACTCACTAAATGTGTGACCTTGGGCAAGTTTTTTAACCTTCCTGTGCTTCATTCAACTGATGTTTATTGAGCAGCTACTCTGCCAGGCACTGTACTAAATTCTGGGGATACAACACTGAACAAAATAGATGAAAATCCCTGTTGTTTTGAGTATGTGTGTGTGTGTGTGGGGGGGGGGTGTCTGGGGGGATAGTAGTAATGTTTCATGATCTGGGTGCTGCTGATGGATATTCAGTTTGTAAAAATTCATTGTGCTGGGGGCCAGCCCTGTGGCCTAGTGGTTGAGTGCAGCATGCTGCGCTTCTGCAGCCTGGGTTTGGTTCCCAGGTGCAGACCTACACACTGTCAGCAGCCATGCTGTGGTGGCAACCCACATACAAAATAGAGGCAGACTGGCAACAGATATTAGCACAGGGCGAAACTTTCCCCCAAAACAATACATTTCACTGTACATTTATGTGCATGTTTCTGAACGTGTATTTTACTTTAATAAAGTTTTTAAAAATCCATGGCCTTGTGGAGGTCACAGCTGCATTAAATGAGTTAATTATGTAAAGCATGTAGAGCTGTGCTTGCCACATAGTAAGCACTCGAAAAATAGTGGCTACTCTTATTATTCCAGTGAAAACTCTTTACAAACTAGGCCATCAGGGGATGTTCAAGAGATTCAGCTGGCTCTGCCACTAGGATTAGTAGAATCCTTCCATAGACAGTTAGGCATGGACCATGCATCTGTCGTGAAGAATGTGGGTTTTTTCTTTCAAGGTCAAAAAATAAGAGGAATTTTGTTCATGCTTGTGAACTAAAGCAATGCAGGGCTGCTGTGAACATTTGGAAAAACCTGGGAAGCTGGATCCTGCCTTCTGCCTTGCATAGGTTGGGCACCGGGAGAGGCTGTCTGCTGCTGCAGGTGGGTGGGCAGAGGGCTAACAGTGTGCCACAGGCCTGGCCCTTGGGGGGCAGGGGGAGGGAAAGGCCGCTCATCATGCAGCAGCCACAGGTCAAAGAGCAAAGCAGTCAGAGTGCTGTGCCCTCTGGTCTAGGCCTGGGCCTGGGATTGGGCCCCAGCGCCAACACCCCAGTAAGGGGATAGGTCTTTACCTCATCCTACTCTAAGGACAATGAGCTCTGGGGACAGACATAAGCCAGGTACTGAAGTCCTGTGGTAACATGAGTGACAGCATGGGGGATGGTGGGTAATCAGAGACTGGCCACCAAATCCTAGACAGTCCAGGGGGCTGCAAGCGGTTCCCCAGCCCTGGGTTCCAGCCCCTGAACAAAATCCAGGATGGGGCCTGAGCCTAGCCTGGAATCTCAGTGCCCACGGCCCCTTCAAGAGGGGGCAGTATCCGTCCTGGAGATGGGGAGGTGGGGGCTAGACCAAAAAGCATCATCCTTCAAGGACCTGTTCCAAGCCTCACAGGCTGGAGGAAAAAGCTTCCAGTTTGCTCCCCTCTCCGCGGCCGTGGCTGCCCCAACTTGGGGGAGGGGAAGAGGGGCTTGGCCCAGGCTATGAAGGTGCCCCTCAGCCCCAGTTCAGGCCCTGGAGCCTCTTCTTTTTTTTAAGATTTTTCCTTTTTCTCTGCAAAGCCCCCCGATACATAGTTGTATATTTTTAGTTGTGGGTCCTTCTAGTTGTGGCATGTGGGACGCCACTTCAGCATGGCCTGATGAGTGGTGTCATGTCTGCTCCCAGGATTTGAACCAGTGAAACGCTGGGACACTGAAGCAGAGCACGTGAACTTAACCACTTGGCCACAGGGCCGGCCCCCAGGCCCTGGAGCCTCTTTAGCAGAAGCTAGAGTCTGGGGCACTTGGCAGCGCATCCCCTCCCACCCACTGGGCCAGCCCAGAAGTGTGAAGGGGTCTCAGTGTGGGTGCTCACAGGGACCTGGTGGGACCTTCCACCATTCTCCTCTTCCAAGCAGCAGCAGCTGCTTCCTATTTTCCTTTTAAAAGAGGCTTATTGGTGGGGGTGGGTTAAGGCCAAGAAACCAAGCCAGTTCACCATGAATCACAGTGCCAGGTGCTGGGGGAAGGGGCCCTGGCAGCTGCGGGGCAGTGGAAATACAATGGACTTGAGTCAAAACCAGAGTCTGAGTGCCAGGACTTCGGGCATGTCACTTGACGTTAGCCTCAGTTTCCTCTCCCACGAAGTGGGGCTAACAGCACCCACCCCACAAGTGTGTTGTAAGGTTAAAAGCACTGTGAATACATGCAGTTGTCACCATTGCTATTGACTGCCCTTATCTCTGCCCTCAGGACAGACTGGGCGGGGCCTGAGCCTCCCACCCCTTCTCCCCAGAGGCCGGTCTTCCCGTTCCTTCCCTGCTCCCAGGGAACATGCTGTAACCAGCTGTTGTTGGGGGACTGGGGTGTCCTCCCCTCTGGACTCCAGGCGCAACAGCTACGAAGAGCAGAGGGATCAGCTGTGGTCATCAGGGAACAAGGTTCAAGACCAACAGGCAAGGCCGGATGGAGGCGGGAGGGAGGGGTGAGGGGTGGGAGCAGGTGAGGTCGCCAGTAAACATTTTACACAACAAATGGCAAGGCCTTGAGGGAGAGAGGGGAGGCAGGAGGGAGGGAGGGAATGAGGGCAGCTGGGTGCCCAGGCACAAGTGAGGCCCCTCCCAGCCTGGGGAGCTCAAGGGGACCAAGGCCAGTGAAGGGCAGGGCCAGAGCACTGCGCCGGGCCTCACGCCATGCCCAGACCCACCCCTCATCCCAAAAGTACACAGGCCCTCCCTGCACACGCCGTTCCCCACAGTTGGAAGGTCCAGCCTCAAAAATGGGAGGAGGAGAACCACCTCCGCACCCTCAGCCCAGACACTAGAAGGTAAGCAGCAGGGAAGAGCAACAAGGAGCTCCAGGCCCTTCTGAGGAGCTGAAGGGGACTCAGAAATCGGAACAAAAAAGACCAAAAGGTTTTTACTCTGTGAGCCCTGGGGAGGGCCGGGCAGAGCACAAGGTGTCCACAGGAGGGGGTGAGCAGAGAGGAGGAGTTGGGGCCTGCAATCTTGCTTCCCTGTAGGGGAGGAGTGAGGGGAGGTGAAGGCCAGGTGTGACCTCTGCAGGGCTCCAGAAGGCTCCAGTCCTGGGGTCCAGCTCGACACCTGCCCCTCCTGCGTTCACACCAGCACCCCTGGCAGGCCTGAAATCGCACGGCCTGCCTGAAGCCTGGGTCAGGAGAGAAACGCTCAGCAGAGGGAAAAGGCCAGCGCGTGCTGATGGCAGCCCATCTGAGTTCTTCCCAGCTCGTGTCTGTCCCCGTGAGGAAGAGGGCACAGCTGAGGCAGGGAGGCCCCAAGGCCAGGAGAGCTGTCTCTGCCTGCTGGAGCCATGCCCCAGCTCTTCAGCTGCCCGGTCACGGCTCTTGGTACAGGGGCACTGGGTTAGGCTCAGAGCTCATCAGGGGGGCTGTGTGTGAGCGGGGATGCCTTCTGGATGCCCTCATCCTCCTCGGGGCTGGGGTCTCCCTCGAGGTCCCCCAGCTCCTTCCTCTGTTTGCTGCCACTGCCCGAAGCCTTGGTCCTGCTGCTCTTCTTCTTGGACTTCTTCCCTCCCAGGGCGGCTGTGTCCCCCTTCTTGCCAGACCACTGCTCTGCCAGGCAACCTGGGGTGAGGAAGTGAGAGACCCTTAACAGACTGGATTGCTGGGCGAGGAGCACTGATTAGGGGGCCACTGGAAGTGGCGGCTGAGGTCACCATCCCTACCTCCCGCCTCACTGCGGCCCAGGCCCCTCTGGGGCAGCCGAATTGTCGCAGGTTATTCTGTACCTGGTTTCAGTGCCTCTTCCCCCCACCCCGTCCCATCAAGCTCCCTGTGGGCAGAGATGCTATGATGACCCCTATTCCTTATTTCTTTTCCATCCTTTCCCTACCCACCTCCCCTGAGGGGGAGCAAGCAATAAAATCGAGGGCCGACCCACCCTGCCTTCTCCCTGCCTCAGACTCACTGGTGTCCTTGCCCTTCAGCACGTGGTTGGCGCAGAGGAACTGAGTGAGGTCCTCCTCCTGGTGGTTCCTGTACCAGTCCTCGATCACCTCCTCAAACTCTTCCACCAGCACGTCGCACTATTAATCACAACACCTGGCGTTGGCAAAGCCCCCACGCTGACTCGCTCCTGGCGGAGCTCCGCGGAGCCTCACGACCCACAGCAGGGGCTGTGATTCTCCTGAGGAAACTGAAGCCAGAGAGGCGAAGCACTTGACCAACGTCCCCCAACTCTTGGTGGGCTTCCACAGCTGCAGCCCCGATCCCCACCCAGCCCTGTGGGACACAGCAGCCTCTGAGAGCTACAAGGCCTGTACCTGCTTTTTGAGGTCGGCCACCTCTGCAGAGGTCTCGTTCCACAGCTCGTAGGGGATGTCCATCACCACCTTGACCCCTTTGTGTACGAGGTTGTGCAGCGTCTCAAAGGTCTCTGACATGCCCTGGAAGAAGCGACCAGACATGAGGCGCAGAGACACTGCCCTACCTCCCACCCTCCTCTCCTGGTGGTGCGGGGGGCCCAAGCACCCAGCTCTAAGTCAGGACCCTCGAGGGCTCTTCACACTTGACCTCACCTTCCTCTCCCCTTTTAGGCCTGCTTCCCATAACCCCTACAAACACACACACACACACCCCCTGTCCTGCCTCTCCACACCTCCTCCTTTCGAAAAGGTCTGCTCTTGCTCTCAGATCCTTTGAACGTACAGTTGTTTTCCAGGAAATAAGTTTGTCTTGGCTCTCTCCCCTCAAGGGGCTAGGCCCACTCCCTGTTTCGGGTTCTTTCTAGGGCTTGTGTCTTTCCTCGGTGGGAGGAGGGCACAGGTGAGGCGGGGAGGACTCTGTTCAGTAAAAAATATTTCTGTCAGCTAACCTAGGTATTCTCCCTAGAGACAACATAGCATCTACTTCCTCTATCTTTTCAGAGATAATGAACACAAATACAAGCAGAGATCCATACAAATATATCCCCCTCCGCCGCTTTCTATGTTAGCAGTAGTATGTTTCATGTACACTGTTCTGCGCCTTGCCTTTTGTACTCACTAGACCTGGGAGATAACTCTAGTTCAGTCTGTAAAGAGCTACCACATTCTGCTTTACCGTTGCAGAGCAGTCCACTGAATGGCCAGATCCATTTATTTAACCACCCCCTACTGGCCAATGGTTAGGTTGTTTCCAACTTTTTTGCTACAGAAAATAATGTTAAACACTTTTACATTAAGGCAAACATGGATATATTACCAAGTAGAGGACAAAATTCATACAAATTAGAAAAATAAAACCTAAGACTTCTGCTGCTTGAGACTATCCCTCTAGGGTTTGCAGGGGTTTCTGACTGATCTGCTTTGTTAGAAGGTACTTAGGTGCACCAATGTGGGAGACAACCGTCTTAAAATGTGCCAGGCCCTGAAGATGTAGAGACCAAGAAATATGGGCCTTGTTGTCAGCAGCTCATTCTCCAGGGAGAGAAGAGAAGCATTTATGCACATAGTAGGTGCCTTAAAGGTCACATAGGCAGCCTGAGGGAGGTCCAGGGCCCTGTGGGCCGAGAGGAAAGACAGGGCAATCTGTCTCTAAGCCTGGCCAGTTTGTATCTCCTGAGTTCTTCCTGCACAGTGCTTAGGCCTCCACGGGGACTGCCAGCCTGCAGCATTTCTGTCTCAGGCTGAGGCAGAACCCTGATGGGCAGGCCCAGGCCATTAGGAATGTGCCGACTGCCACGGAAAAGTCAGGCCACTCAGGAGGGGAGGAGTGCAAACAGCAATCAATGAAGCATGGGATGAGGCCAAGGAAGGAAGCTCCCAAGGCACTGATCTTCCAATGACACCCATATCAGCAGACACACTTAGATGCATGCAGGCCTGGCCCCAGCGGGGATGAAGGACAAGCACAAATCCAACCTTGGCAAAGCGGTTGCTGCCGGTCCTCTCCTTGTGCAGGCTGTAGTCCAGGAGCCTCTTGCAAATGGTCTCAGTGACTTCGATTAACCGCAAGTCCCTGCCGAGACAGCAGCACAAGAGGGACTGAGTTCCCCTCCTCGCCCCAGAGGATCAGCGGTCCGTCCCTCCAGCCCTGCTACCCCAGCACCTGCGCATCTCACCAACGGGAGGTCAGAGCTGGAAGGAAGATAGGTCATCTGGTCTGGGGGCTCTGAGATGCTGGAACACAGACCAGAGAGACAAAATTTTAACAGCTCTATGGGAAGGAATTTTTTCATAAAGCTAAAGGATTCGGTATTCAGATATTTTTTATAAAGCAAAATGAATTAAATTTTGATGTTAAAATATCACTTCATTTTGAAAGGATGATCATTGCTGATGGAGGTATTTGTTGGTTTATTTGTAATATTTATACCTGGCCAAATTAAAAGCTGGTAATCCTATGTTATTTGTATTTTTTAAAATTGCAAATCCAAGAGTCTGGGAATCACTGATGAGGTCCAAGAGTCTTGCTTTTACAGATGAGGAATCTGAAGCCCAGGGAGTTCAGGGATGTCTGAAGGGGTTAAGGGATTTCTACCCCCACACTATTAGCTGGGGGTAGAACTAGTGGGCTAACTTAGTTCTCAGTTAGAGCTGCCTCCCTTTGGTGGTTTTGCCTAGCTGGAAGGGAGAAGGGAACTCCAAGCCACTGAAGCTCTAAGGAACAAAGCAGGCCAGGCCAGTGGGTCCCCCCATTCACTCACGACTTGGTGTACTTGACTCCGGAGGCCTTCCGGTCCAGGATGCCATAGCCAGTGTCAATCACCTCCTTGGTCTTGCCAGTCTCCTCGAAGGCTGACTTCAGCTCCACGGCGACATATTTACACACTGGGGGAGGGAGACACAGCACAGCCTACTGAGTACATGTGAGTCTTCGACGGGAGCCAGCTCCCAGCAAAACAGACTCAAGTGGCCACCTCTCCCAGACTGCGTCAACGCTCTGGGCGGGGAAGGAGGTAGCACCAGACCACCAAATGGAGTCCACTGGGTGAAACCTGGCTCCAAGATCCACTGTCCCATGTCCACTCCTAGCCCTCATCCTACTCACGTCATTTCTCTCAGCTCCCAGCAATCATTTTTCTTTTAAAATTTTCAAACATAAAAAAGCTGAAAGAGTACCATGAATAAGTATATACCTTCTGCCCGTATTCAACAGCTGCTAATAATTTACCACAATCTCTCTCCAAGGCACAAAATAATGCGACAATAATCTACCTCAACAATATATACACTGTTTTTGCTAAGCCACTTTGAAAGTTGCAGACATCATGACCTTTCACCCCTAAATATGTCATCATGCATCTTGTGAGAACAAGGACCTTCTCCTACCTAAACACAAAATAATTATGATACTTGGAAAATGAACAATAATTCCAATATCATCTAATACTCGGTCCATATTCAGATTTCCCCAATTGTCCCCAAAACGTCCTTTACGACTGTTTTATTACTTGGTTTCATATGTTGTTCCAACACCAGCTCTCTATTCCTACCAAGTTAATTTGCTCCATTCCCTCCAGAGGCCTTGTTTCTGCTGTTTCTGAACATTTATTTTCTCATTTCCTCTTACGCTTCCTCTAACAGTTACTGAGCGACTCCTGTGTGTCAGGTACTGCCTGGGGACACAGAGATGAAAACAAGGTCCCTCCCTTCCAGACACTCAGTCTAATGGAGCAGAAAGAAGTATAAACAAATAATTGCCACTGCATAAGGATGCTACCACTGAAAGCGTGAAGTACCTGAGACCTCGGGAAAGTGCTTAAGGTCCTCTAGGGGCTGTGGGGCTCTTCTGCCCATTCTCCCAATCTCATCTTAAAAGCCTCCTCCCCCAGGAAGCCCTCTGGACTAATCCCACCTGCTCTTGATTTCACTCCTGGACTCTGCAGGATCCAGGCTCTCACTAAAGGCCTTCGGTCACCTCATGTGTCTCTCCAATTAGACTCCAAGGATACCCGAAATGAGTATCATGTACTGGAATTTTCCTGCCTTCTTCTAGGCTGGGACTGTGTATGTGTTGGATAGTTGATATATTGCTGAGAGAGACTGTGTTCGTGGGTGAACAGCTTCCAGTGCCTCTGAGTGGAATATGGTCTGCAGGCTAGATGCCATCAGCATCGTTACAACATTCAGTAGAGTTTGGTAGAAAATCAATTTACCACCAAAACAAATACATCCCCTGGAGGCTTGCTTGGTGAAATTCTGTAACATATACATTAATGGATGGCTTGGAGAACTTGGAACACAACAATTCCAAAATATAAGCTGGTGATCTCAGATCTGCAATGAATTGAGGGTGCCTCACCTCCCTGGCTCTCCATCCAAAACCGTCTGGGCTCCCCCCCACCCTTTTGTCCTGTACGCTGTACAAGCTCAGCATTTTTCTGGCTCCTTTGCCCCCTTCTCCCATGCCCTCAATATGTAGTGTTCCAAGCCTGGGGGGTTGGAACCTATCAACCCATCTCATACCCATCAACTACAACCTTGCTTCCCAACTCTTGCAAACCCTACCTCTTCAAGAGCCCCTCTGGGGATCCTACCCAGAACCAGACTTGGAGGAGACTCATGGCACAGACCCCAGACCCCCGTGGGCACCCACCCACTCTTTTTCAGGGCAGGTTCTCCTTCCTCTGTGCCAAGGTCTGTACCACTCAGGCTACTGAGCCAGGAGGCAGGCTTTGCGAGCCCGACATGGTCAGCATTTAATAACAAAGGTATAACAAGGATAAAGTGAATACATTAGTAAGAGGACCCTAGCGGTTTGAGTTTGCCAAGCCATCCTGTGACTGAAAAATCCCTTTTAAATTAATCTTTATCAATAACCTACAAAATGAGGTTGGACGAGACTGATCTCTAAGATCCTTACTGGTTCTATGCTTCTATGAGTGGATGCCTCCTAAGGAAAAGAAATGTGAGCTTCTTAGGTTATGAGAATAATAAGAGGAACACCAGGGGCTCTTTGGTACCAGAATGAAATAGAAAACGAAGAGAAGAGGAAGTGAAACCCCCAAAGGATATGGGTAAGGACCAGTGGAGGGGAGAAAGGAAAGCACCATAACCCGACTGTCTACTTGAGGAGTACAGGCAAAGGTGCAGGCTGGAACCCACGCTGGGAGCCCAAGCAGTCGGTCGCTCATCTCTAAAGCATCTCACCTTTAATCTCTTACAGGGAAGGATTATGTGTCCTAAACCTCCCCACCCCCACTTTCCAGCGCTCAGGGAACATCTGGCCTGCTGAGAGCTTTGAATTGGGATGAAATATATTTATCACCAACTTTCTGGGGGGCCTGGGGCTAGGAAGGTGGGAAGGAAGGAGTGGCTGTAAAGGGCTAAGGAGAAACCGAGGAATGGAGGGGAGGAAGGAGAGGCAGACCCTTCACAGTCCTGGATCATTGGTTTGTCTGCTGACACTCCCCTCAAAGTTCCACACCTCCACTCCTACATCTTTGGGATTTGCTCTTTCTCCATATTCCTAAAATCTCCCTCCCTCAGGCTCTATCCTTCTCCCACAGTGGCCCCTTAGACCTCAGACCCTCGTCCTTCCTCTACACACACCCACAGGCCCCTGTTTATGCATATTTACTCGAAAAACATCTACTGGGCACCTACCAGGCCCTGCGTGAATAAATATTTGAGATAAGGTCCCTGCCCTCAGGAGCCCACAGCTAGCGCGGGAGACAGCCACTTACACAAACGAGGTTGCAGTGAGGGCACAAAGGGGAGAGTCTCAGGGTCTCCTTCCCCCAAGACCAGTCACACGGATCGTTTCAGTTCCTCAAACGTTTCCTTCGCTTCTCAGCTTGCAGGACGCTGCCTCTGTGGTTTCCTGAGCGGGACCCTCTCTTTTCTCTTCTCTTCACCCGGCTAACTCCTAACCACCCTCTGGGCTTCTTGTACGAAGCCTTTCCGGACTTCCCTCTACACACAGCCTTTCTCCCATCTCTAGGATAGATGAGGTGCTCCTCACCTGGTCCCCAAAGCCCTGTACTTCCTCTATCACGGCATCTACTATCCTGGATAACTGCTTGTTTTTAACGATTTGTAAGCTCCAGATGCACCGAGACCTGCTCTCTCGCCCGCCCCTGGGTCCCCAGCGTCCGGCATGGTGCCAGGCACACAGTAGTTTCAATGAACGAAGAGACTCTCGCTCAGAAGCCCAGGACCTTCCATCCCCCTGACCCTTCTCCGCAAGCCCCGCCCGCCGGCAGATACTCCCCGCGGGCCCCGCCCCCTCACCTTCGCATTTGCTGGGCAGTCGAACCCAGTCGGTCTCCTCGGCCTGGGCCTGCCTCGGGCCCAGGTCCGGCGCGGGCAGCAGCAGCAGCAGCAGCAGCAGCAGCAGCAGGGGGAGAAGCAGGACACAGCGGGGCCCAGGCCCGGGCCGGGGAGCGGGCTCAGCCAACGGCTCCATGGCCCAGCCGGACCCGACCCGAGCGGACCAGGCTGCGCTTCCTCCCGCGGCGCGCGCTGGGCAGCTTCCCGGAGCCGCTTCCGGGACTGCACACGTGCCTCGGCGTAACCGGGGCAACCGCGAGCCCCTCGCGCGCTCGCTCCGCGGCCCGCCCCCGGAGCCGACGGGGGCCCGCGGACGGCGCAGCCAATGGGCTTTTCGGGGCTTGTCCTTTAGCGAATGGGAGGCCGAGCTTTTTTCGGCCTCAGCCAATGAGAGGGCGGATGGTGTCCTCAGCGACCTATGGCAACATCTTTTCCCACCCCCTAACGGTGGCTCTGGGCGGGGCTGGAGGACCAGGACAAGAGGGAGGGAAGCAGCTGACAGGGCCTGAGTGGGACGTGGTCCTGCACGCTCGTCCTGGAAGATGTGCGAGAGGCCGTCTTCACTGTCTTCGCCTCCTTTCACGTCGTTTCCCTCCTGGAGTCATAATGCATCAAGCTCTTACTGAGCACCTGTTTTTTAATTTTATTATTATTACTTTTTTGGTTATTGTTATTGTTCTAACTACCAGTCACTCTAATAGGCACTGTCGGTGAGACCAGGACGACTCAAACAGTCCCCAGCCTTCAAACTTAGTGCCAGTAACCCTAGATTTTTCCCAGTGAGAACTAGAACAAACCACTTCCTCTCTGAGCCTCAGTGTCTGTCTGTATGATCACTTTGTGATCCTCCCAGCTGCTATTCGAGGTTTGCCTGTTGCTGGGAAGCTCAAATAGGTTAATGGAATAAAGCTTATGGAGCAGATTGTAAAAAGTTCACGCATTAATTTTCTTTTTACGTGTGTATTTTCTGTATGTGTGTAACCTCAGCCCTTTTTACTGCCCTATTATTTATTTCTGTGGATTCTGAGCTCCCAGAAGGCAGAGACTTGATTGACGTAGGCCCACAAGCCGTCCTGGGAAATAACATTAAGCCAGCCACAGGAGAGATTCAGAGTCTGGCACAGGGCAGGATTGGCGCAAGATGGGGAGGGGTGTTGAAGCTAAGGGAAGCCCTCTTGCAGAATGAGAAGACATTTACTGAGGTAAGAAGTAGTTTGGCGGGAGCCCTGGGCTTAGCATCTCAGCTGAGAGCTGGGAAGGGACAGTGGCTGGAGAAAGTCTGAGGAGATAGCTGGACATGCCCCCACCCCACCCCAGCCTACCTCCTCCCTCAGTCTGGTGTTGGGGAAGGAGCAGGCCCTATGGGACGGTGGACAGATTCACCCCCAGAAGTTGTGGGACACCCTCCCCTGACAAAAAATCCAAAAAAGGGGTAGGAGAATCTTCTTACAGGCTGGTGAGAGGCAAGCAGGGGAGGAGACAGTGAGAGTTGCCATGGAACAGCAGCTGAGAGGGCACAGAGGCTCAAGGAAGCTGGAGGTGTCATTGACACCACGTGTGTGGGGGGTGTTAAAGCATAGTTCCCCACTGACGCCTTGAGAGAAGGAAGACTAAAGGAGCACCATTGATGCGGCAGACTGTCCTATGCTGCCCAGGGGACATCTAGATTCACATGAAAACGCCCAGACGTTGGGGTGACTACTAGCGAGGAATCCCTGGGAAAGGTTGGATTTCTGGCCCGTGCTGAAGAACAGGGGACACACAGTGTACCCTCCAATGTGGGAGCCTCATATTTTATCGCTGCAAGAACTCTCTTTAGGAAGCAAAACAAAACAAAAACCTCCTTAGTGCCTGGCTCAGAGGTGATGCTCAATGAATATTTTTCAAATGAATAATGACCCTTAATGGATTAATAATGTGCAAGTTTGAAATTACCATCTATGGTCTTGGCACTGGACACGAACCCGTGACCCTGGGATCCTGGCCCTGTTCACTTCTGCTGAGTCTGTACAAGACTTCACAGAGGCCTAGCACCTCGCCTTCCTGGGTCTCGGGCGGGGCTCCTCGCCCTGACCTCTCACAGAGGTTGGGCCACATGAGGAGACAGAGAGGGGGCCTTGCCCCATGCCTGGCTGTGAGGAAAGGAGACAGAGGTGAGATAGGGTCCTCCCCAACCCCAACCCCACTCTGCAATTCCCAGGGTCTCACCCTCAGGAAGCCCTCTTCCTCAAGGGAGCCTTCCCAGATTTCTGCCTCCTTTAATTCTGCCAAATTCCCTCCTCCCAGGGCAGATTTGAATCAAAATATTGTTCATTTGTTTGTGTCATTTACGCTCTGCTTTAATTGTTCTCAGTTATCTGCACCCTAAACGTCCCAGTGCCTGAGTCCGTCAGCACCCTCAAGGATCTCCCAGTCTGACGGGAGAGACACAGCCTTTTCCCTCAGAAAGCCTTGGTCTGAGGGGGGAGACAGAGCCCAGCCCCCAGGATGCTCCTGTCCGCAGGAGGAGGCAGGTCACATACAAATGCTCCAAGGCTCGAGGCAGGAATACTGAGGGGGGTCCTGAGCCTCAGGCCCAAGCTTGGTTGGCAGAGACCATCCCCTCTTCCCAGACTGGGCTCCTGGGATCCGGACGCGGACGGAGGGTGGGAACCCCCCCGGCCGGCCCTGGGCTGCAGCGCCGGCGGGGTGGACGGGGTGAGCGCTCGGCCTGTGGTCCCCCCATCACTGCGGCGAAGCCAGTGGGCGGGGGCTGAGGGCTCTCCTACTGGCAGAGGCTGCGGAAGGAAAGGACGGTCCGCCCTCGGGGCCGCGGGGAGCTCGGGGGTCGCGGGGTCTCGCGGGCCAGGCGCCCGGGCCGGGTCCCCCCTCGCGGCGGGCAGGGCGCGGAGGCGGCTGCAGGTCAGGAGCACGTCAAACAGCAGCAGCTTGAAGAGCAGCAGCCGCAGCGCCCCGAGCCGCAGCGCCTGGCCCCGTGTCCCTGCGGGAGAGGGAAGGAGCGGGTTAGGGGCCTGGAGGCTGGCCCTGAGCCCCACGACAGGAGATTGTTCTATAGTGCAGAAGGGCCTTGCCCTCTGCCCTTGCCATCCCTCCTCCCTTTCACCGCCCCCCCCCCCCCAAATCCAAGGAAAGTCCTACCTGGTGTCTAACCTCAGCTCTTACTGGTCATAATAACAAATACCTTCCTAGCCAGCCTTCATTTTATTTGATTCCCCAACAACCAGGGGGATGTAGGCCAGGCAGGAATTAACATCTGATGCAGAGAAGAATAACCAGCTCAAAATTCTCTATTTGGTCAGGAAGTAGAACCTGACTCATGACTCTGTCCAGCAGGTGGTGGGACTTGGGACAGTTTCCCAAGGCTCCCAAGAGACTCCCAAGGCTCTAACACTGAGACCATCCATCTGGGCTGCGCAAGGAGAGCTCCAAGGACCCTCTGTTAGCTCTCACCTGCACTTCTCAGCTGTGTGCAGGAATTAGGCTGGGGTCGCAGGATCTATTCCGGTCTCACCCACGGGAAGACAGGGGCCCAGGCTAGCCAGCGCCCCAACCCCACAAGGAACCCACCAACCCTGGGTGGGACCCACAGGCTAGAGCCCAACATGGTCTAAGGTCCTGGTCCCCAGTACTCACCCCTGAGAGGCTCCCGGAGGCAGATCCTGGCTGAGGAAGCCTCTCCTGCCAGCCAAGGAGAAGGGAGTGAGTCCTTTGGGATGAGCCGTGCCCTCCCCCGCGATGCTATGCCCTGGCCCTGGCACAGGGCAGCTCTTCATGGCATGTGGCTAAATGGACAAATGAACCAGCAGCAGAACCTGAGCCATTTGCTAAATGTCCTCGGAAGGGCCCAGCTCTCCCTCCCTCCTCGCTGGCCCCCGTTCTGTGCCCCGGGGAGGCTGAGGTGCCTCGGCACTTTTAGACAGGGAATCAGTTTTCTTAGCAGCCTTCTTTGGAAGCCATGGCATTTATTCAATAAATAGTCTCATTGCGAAGATGACAAAATTAACATAATCCAAAAAGAGGAAGAAAATCATCTGGTCAGTAATAATAACAGCTGGATTTGGACATGCTGCTCAACCTCTCTGTGCCCATAAAATGAGGAAAATAATATGACCTACTTCATAAATGTAAAGTGTTTACAACAGTGCCTGGCATTAAGTAAGTGATAGCAATTTATTATTTAATTATATTTGGCTCTAATAGGTAGGGTGTCATAAATAGGGTGATATATATAGATATAGATATTAACACTAGGTATAGGGCCAGCCTGGTGGCGCAGTGTGTTAAGTTCCACTTTGGTGGCCCAGGGTTCGCAGGTCTGGATCCTGGGTGCGGACCCACGCACCGTTTGTCAAGCTGTGCTGTGGCAGGTGTCCCACATAAAATAGAGGAAGATGGGCACGGATGTTAGCTCATGGCCAGTTTTCCTCAGCAACAAAAAAACAAAAACAAAAACAAAACACTAGGTATATAAAGAGAGATATTAACCCTCAGTGATAGGGTTAATATATATACCTCAGTATGTATGTATATCTCAACCCCAGGAGGGAGGAGTCATTATTACCTCTTGGAAGTCAAGCATCAGTCTGGATTTGAATGAGATATTACAGTTGCAAATCCCAGGACTCAGGGCCCTTAGGCCACCCTGCTCTGAGCCCAGGAATCACCTCACCTAGATGTCAGCACTTGGACACCCTTCATGCCCCCAGGCCTGGAGCCTGCCCTCCCTCCCACCATATCCTCATTCCAGGGTGTGTTCCAGGGCAGGGAGCATCCACAGGGGCCCAGGCTCGGTCCCCACCTGAGAGCTGTAGGGGCTGTGTGCTCCGGCTGTGGTCCCCAGCCCCAGGCCCAGTGTGGCAGACCAAGGTCTCCCAGGCTGCCAGTTCCTCAGAGGGCAGGGAGAGCTGGGCCAAGCTGGTCCAGGTGCCATCTTCTGCTAGGGAAGGGCCGTAGGTGAAGGCGTCCAGTTCACTGCCATTGCCAGCTGAGAACCAGATGGAGCTCTCAAGGCCAGGGGGTGCAGCATCGAGGACCAGGCAGACCACCAGTGTCTGCTGCTTCCCATCTACCAGCAGCGTGATTGGTGGGGCCAGGGAGGGGAAGGGGGTGCCACGCACACCTGCAAGAAAGCACACACTTGTTGGGGGCTACATCTGTCTGTGCCCTCCCAGGCCAGCATCTCACTGCAGACTTCTATCCTTGTGTCTGAGTTTCTATCCTTCCATCTATCCTTCTACTATCCATCTATTTATCCTTCTACCCTCTCATCCATCCCTCTCTCCTGGCATTTACCCATCTAACCACTCTTCCTTCCCTCCATCTTTTCATTCATCCTTCTATCTCCATCTTTCCTACATCTATTCTCTCTACCTTCCATCTATATGTCCATCCATCCATCCATCCTCCCAGACACCTATCTATCATATCTGAACCTTTCTGTGCCAGGCACTGAGGAAACACCATTAATTAAGATATTGTCCCTGCCTTTAAGGAACTCAGTCCCATGGGAAAGATAGCAGATGCATAAATAAATACTTATAATACCTTGTCGTGCCAGCCTCAGGAGAGTGGTTACATCTGGGGAGGAAGGGAAGGAAACAGGATCCGGAATGAAATCAAAAAGGGCTTCAAATTTATCTGTAAATTTTTGTTCCTTTAAAAAGTATATCTGATTCAAATATGGAATAATTTTAACCATTTGTTAATCTGAGTTGAGTATGCGTGTGTTGTATTATTCTTGAGTCTTTTCTATAAGTCTGCAGTATTTTTAATAGCTTTGTTTAGATGTAATTTACATGCCATATAATTCACCCATTTAAAGTGTATGTCTGTATTATTTCATAATTTAAAAAAAGAAAAATAAGTCATCTCTGTCCTATATTTTCCAGAATAGTCCTGATTTTACACAAACTTATTCTTTTCAGTAAAGATGACTCATTTAATATATAACAAAATGTTATTTTTGAAAGGTTGGGTATCTTGTCATATCAATAAAATCTCAAAGGTTAAAACCTACAAACGGGGCTGGCCCAGTGGCCAGCAGTTAAGTTCGCACGTTCCGCTTCGGCAGCCCAGGGTTCGCTGGTTCGGATCCCGGGTTCAGACTTGGCACTGCTTGGCATGCCATTCTTTGGCAGGCGTCCCACATCTAAAGTAGAGGAAGATGGGTACAGACGTTAGCTGAAGGCCAGTCTTCCTCAGTAAAAAAGAGGAGGATTGGCAGCAGAGGTTAGCTCAGGGCTAATCTTCCTCAAAAAACAAATACAAAAAACCAAACAAAAACACAAAAAACAAACAAACCTACAAACAAATTCACACCATGAGTTAAGCACAGCCAGGCTAAGGAAATGCCCCAGGGTGTGGGAAGGGTGCCAGAGAATCTCATGGGGAGATAGGACAGGAGGCTGCTCAGGAAGGAGTTCTTGAAGGTCAAATAATTGACCAGAAGCACATGGATGGTAACTCAGGATTTGAACTCGGGTCTCTGTGACCCCAAATCCCACAGACCACCCCACCCTTGGAAGGATAACTAAGATTTTGCTATGTGACACAGTGGCCCAAGCCTGGGACAGGCCTCAGACAGAGTTGGGTTGATTACTGACTCCTCCATTTATTTATTTATTTAAATTTTAAAAATTTTATTATTTTTACTTATTTATTTATTTATTTATTTTGAGGAAGATTGGCCCTGAGCTAACATCTGCTGCCAATCCTCCTCTTTTTGCTGAGGGAGACTGGGCCTGAGCTAACATCCATGCCCATCTTCCTCTACTTTATGTGTGGGATGCCATGGCTTGCCAAGCGGTGCCACGTCCGCCCCCAGGGTCCCAACTGGGGAACCCCAGGCCACTGAAGCGGAACATGCGCACTTAACCGCTGCGCCACCAGGCCAGCCCCCTAACTCCTCCATTGAATTTACTGAGTCTCAATTGTCCCAGCAATACAACGAGGTTAATAATACCAGCCCAATAGAATTTTGTTGTAAAGACCATGAATGTAAAATGCCTTAGCAGATAGTTATTAGTATTATTATCGATACTAATATTAATAAGGTATCACAAACAAAGGGAGTAGGGAAGGCTGGGAGTTAACTCCAGGACCCTCAACCTCCTGAGCCTTTTCAGTCGTACAGATAGAGACACTCTCCAAGTCGAGCTCAGCCTCCACCTCCTCCAGGAAGCCTCTCAGTATTGCTCCTTCTCACCCTGGCTGCTTCCTTCCCAGAGCTCGGGCCTCCTGCCATGGGCTCTCCCTGCTCCACACGGGTATGGTTTGTCTCCCTAGCGAGGGAGAGCCTGTGTCATACTGGGGCTAGCTTCAGATCAAGAAAACACCCTGACTCAAAGGTCAAGGACCTTTCCCCCTGACACAGGCAAACAGGCACCTGCTTCTAACTGAAGCTGGAATTCTCAAAATTTGAGTCATTTGGCTCCAACCTTGTTCTGTGGAGGACTGGGGGTAAATACCCCGGGGAAGTCACCGAGGCCTTGGGACATCTCCTGAGAGCCCACTGATAAGGGGGAGCTGGGAGTGAACCTGAGACACTCTGAGCCCTGTTGGAATAAGGCACCCTGAGGGCAGGAGGCCAGGCCAGGAAGGACAGGAGAGGGCCTCACAATGCTCATGTCCCATCACCCATATCGCATAACACAGCCCGGCTACACCCTCCCTCCAAGCTTCCCCCCCACCCCAGCAGTGCACGCCCATCCAGCTTGCTCTTGTTTCCCTATACCTCCAAGAGGTGACCGCCCTCCACCACCGCTGTGGACTCCAGGGGAGCAGGATCTGGGGCCTGGAGCGAGGTAGCTGGGAGGTGGAGTACACTAGGGAAGGCAGTGATGGGCTTCTGTGGAGACCGTCCCCGCAGGCCCCCGTGGCTCTGTCCTGCTTCCCTGCATCCCACCCACCCCCAGGGAGGCTCAGAGCCACGCAGTGGGCTTGAGTAGACTAACGGACGGGGCACAGAGAGGCATGCCGGGAGGGGGCTCACCGGTGGGCAGGGCTGGACACCCGAGGGCCAGGAGAAGCAGCAGCCAAGTCCGGGCCATGGCGCACCTGAGAGGAGGCAGGACCCAGCTGCAGACCTGAGGCGTGGGCTGGGGGAGGAGGTGCCCACAAGACCGCCTCCCAGGCCGCAGGCCCAGCTGCACCTCAGCTGCTCCACCACGGAGCCGTTTACCCCGGTGAGCCCCTCCCACCCCCAACCTGGCCCCTAAACCCAATCCTCTCTCATGGTACCAGGGGGGCTCAGGGTGCCACTCCCACACCAGGAGGTGGATGCCAAACTCCCTCCCGTCTGAAGAGCCCTTCACAGTCCGCAAAGGCTTTTCCCAGTCACTGGTCCTGCTAGAGGGCAACTGTCCTCTCCGGGAAACAGAGCACCAGGCTGAATGGCAGGGGCTTAACCTGCGCACTCCACTCCGTCCACCCAACCACTGCAGTTCCATCCCACGGGGGAAGCAACTGAGGCTCAGAGAGATCAAGTGACCTGCCCGAGGCCACACGACAGGAAAGTGGCAGAGCCAGTGGCTTGATCTCTTCCCTATGGCTTGCCTTACTACAGCCCAAAAGATGCCCAATAACTTACTTCCATGTTGTTAGAACCCCCGCCCCCGACACACATTTTGATAGAATTTACTTTTTCAGAGCTGTTTCAAGTTTGCAGCAAAATTGGGGGGAAGGTACAGAGATTTCCCATATATTCCTTATCCCCTCACATCAAACCTTTTTTTTTTTTTAAAGATTTTATTTTTTCCTTTTTCTCCCCAAAGCCCCCCAGTACATAGTTGTATATTCTTCGTTGTGGGTCCTTCTAGTTGTGGCATGTGGGACGCTGCCTCAGCGTGGTTTGATGAGCAGTGCCATGTCCTCACCCAGGATTTGAACCAAAAAAACACTGGGCCGCCTGCAGCGGAGCACGCGAACTTAACCACTCGGCCACGGGGCCAGCCCCTAAACCTGTGTTTAAAAATAAATATTTTAGGGCCGGCCCCATGGCCGAGTGGTTAAGTTTGCACGCTGTGCTTGGGCGGCCCCGGGTTTCGCAGGTTTGAATCCTGGTCGCAGACATGGCACCGCTCATCAGGCTACGCTGAGGCGGCATCCCACATCCCACAACTAGAAGGACCCACAACTAAAAATATATACAACTATGGGATTTGGGGAGGAAAAGCAGGAAAAAAAAAAAAAAAAGAAGATTGACAACAGTTGTTAGCTCAGGTGCCAATCTTTAAAAAATAAATAAATAAAAATAAATATTTTATAAATGCCATTTTCAGTGACTCCATTAAATTTTAGCTAGAGCAGTCATTTTGACTCTGGAACTTCACACCGAGGCATATACCCCAATGAAATAATAAGAGATTCAGTCATTATAAGACAAAGATTTATGCACAAAAATGTTCTTGGAAGTATTATATTTTAAAAAGAAAGAGAAATTGAGCCAACAACCTAATTGTTCAATGCTAGGGGGAGGGTTGAATGAATTAATGTTTGGTGTATTTTTATTAGTGACTATTACACAGCAGCTTTTAAAATCCTGTTTTCAAAGAATGTTTAATCACCTGGGATGTAAAAAAGAGTTTGAAGTGTGGACTGTGAAGTCAGAACACCTGGCTTTCAATCCTGACCACATCACTCAGGAGTCGTGTGACTCCCACCAACTTCTTCCCTAAGCCTCAATGTCCTCGTCTGTACAGAGGGGATGGTCATAGTTCAAAGGTGTCCTGTGAGAGTTAAACGAGATAATCCATGAAGAGGCCTTAGCACGTTCCGTAGGAAGAAGTCAATAAATGTTCTCTCTCTCGGCATGCGTGTGTACACATAGTCACACACAACTCAAAGTCGCATGTTTGTAAACTAAACAGGATGCCAGTGTAAGCAGAGAATATAGACCCAATTTTGTATACGAAATAAGTAACTATCCCCAGAAGAAAGCAGACCAAACGCTAGCAACGGTTATCTCGGCATGTTAGCATTTTGGATAGTTTTTATTTTCATCTTTATAATTGTTTATTTCTCAAATTTTCTACAATGAACCTGTATTATTTTAAAAATTAGAAAAACGAACATTATTAAAAAGTAAAACTATAGATGTACTATAGTTTATTTAGCCATTCTTTTATTGTTAGACATTTGGGTTTTCCAGTTTAGGGCAACGGATATCTTTGTTTATAAAGTATTTTCCAAATTCATACTTATGTCCTTAAAATTATTAAGACCTCTGTGACTTTTTAGGGTTTTTTTCTTAAAGATTTTATTTTTCCTTTTTCTCCCCAAAGCCCTCTGGTACCTGGTTGTATATTTTAGTTGTGGGTCCTTCTAGTTGTGGCGTGTGGGACGCCGCCTCAAAATGGCCTGATGAGCGGTGCCATGTCAGCGCCCAGGATCCCGAACCAGCAAAACCCTGGGCAGCTGAAGCAGAGCGTGTGACCTTAACCAGTTGGCCACGGGGCTGGCCGCCTCTGTGACGTTTTTGCTTTTTGTTTTCTGTTTAACTTAAAAAAAAAAAAACTGAGGGGCCTGCCCGGTGGCGCAGCAGTTAAGTGCACATGTTCCACTTGGGTGGCCCGGGGTTCGTCAGTTCGGATCCCGGGTGCGGACATGGCACTGCTTGGCAAGCCATGCTGTGGTAGGCGTCCCACATATAAAGTAGAGGAAGATGGGTATGGATGTTAGCTCAGGGCCAGTCTTCCTTAGCAAAAAGAGGAGGATTGGTGGCAGATGTTAGCTCAGGGCTAATCTTCCTCAAAAAAACCCAAAAAACAAAAAACAAAACTGAATTGTGGTAAAATACACAAAACATAAAATTTACCATCTTAACCACTTTTAAGTGCACAATTCAATGGTATTAAGTACATTCACATTGTTGTACAACCGTCACCATCATCCATCTCTACAATCCTTTTCATTTTGCAAAACTGAAACCCTGTACCCACTAAACACTAACGCTCCCTTCCCTCTCCCCTCAGACCCTGGCAACCACCATTCTATTTTCTGTTTCTATGAGTTTGACTGCCTCATTAAAGTGGAATTATACAGTATTTGTCTTTTTGCGCCTAGCTTATTCCACTGAGCATGATGTCCTCAAGGTTTATCACCCATGTTGTAGCACGTGTCAGAATTCCCTTCCTTTTTAAAGGCTGAATAATATCCCTTAATATGTATATACCATATTTTTCTTCTTATGCATTCATCTCTCAATAGACATCTCTCAATGGCTGCTTCCGCATTTCAGCTATTGTGAATATGCTGTTATGAAATTGGGTTTACAAATACCTCTTCAGGATCCTCCTTCCCAGGGGCTGGCCCCAAGGCCTGGCGGCTGAGTTTGGCACACTCCTCTTCAGCGTTCCAGGTTTGGTTCCCTGTGTGGACCTACACCACTCACAGGCCACACTATGGCAGGTGACCCACATGCAAAATAGAGGAAGATTGGAACAGATGTTAGCTCAGGAGGAATCTTCCTCAGAAAAGAAAAAAAGATCCTCCTTTCCATTCTTTTCTGTGTATACCCAGAAGTGGAATTGCCAGATTATATGGTAATTCTATTTTTAATTTTGGGGGGAACCACCATACTGTTTTCCACAGTGGCTGCACTAATTTACGTTTCCACCAACAGTGCATCAGGGGCCGGCCCAGTGGCACAGTGGTTAAGTTCACACATTCGGATTCCTCGGCCTGGGGTTCACCAGTTCGGATCCCGGGTGAGGACATGGCCCTGCTTGTCAAACATGCTGTGGTAGGCGTCCCACATATAAAGTAGAGGAAGATGGGCACGGGTGTTAGCTCAGGGCCAGTCTTCCTCAGCAAAAAGAGGAGGATTGGCAGTTGATGTTAGCTCAGGGCTAATCTTCCTCAAAAAAACAAAACAAAACAAAACAAAACAAAACAAAGAAACAGTGCATGCGGGCTCCAATTTCTCCACAGCCTTCCCAACAGTTGTGATTTTGGTTTTTTAAAGCAGCCATCCTAATGTGTATGAGGTGTTTTCTCATTAGGGTTTCAATTTGCAATTCCCTAATGATTAGTGATGTGGAGTACCTAAGGTCTCTGTATTTTAAGGTTCTTTTATACACATTTATGTTATACTAATTTATATTCCACCACTATTTATGAAAGACCCACTTCATCCCCGCCAGCATTTGGAATTCCTTTAAAAAAATCCTAATTTAATCAGTTAAAATAGTATGTCATTTCTCTGATCACATTATTTTCCCATCTTGTTGTTTCCTTCAGTGTATTGCCTATTTATTGTGCTCTTGCAGTCCTAGTGTCTTGATGATTTTGTAAGAGCTTTCACATATTAAAGATACAAACTCTTTGTATATTGCACTTTTGGAGCTATTTCCTAATTCACTGACTACTTTTAATCTCACTTTTTAAATTTTTAACCTGCAATTTTCTGTTTCATATGAAGCACCATATGTATCTTTCCTATTGGGATTTATCTCACCCCGTTTAAACGTAGAAAGTGCGCTCCCCTCTAGAGAGCGGATACGGTCTCCTTCTATCATCGTTTTGCATGTGTAGTTTAATCCCCACCCCCCAGCCCCATTTAACTCTCCTAGGAATTAATTTTGCTGCATGGTGAAGATGTGCATCTAAATTTTATTTTTTTTCCAAAGAGTTTACCAATTATCCCAGGATTATTAATTGAATAATCCCTCCTGTCCCCATCTTTTGCGAAACTTTCTTTATTGCACGTTAATATCTTTTATGTTGGCGGGTTTATTTCTTCCTGGTTACGGGACTTCTTTACTCTGGTGCCAGCCTCACCCCATTTCCCTCTGGATGTTTATTTTAACAATCGTGTCGGACGACTCGCCGAGTCCTGAGGGAACCGTCTGCAGCCGGCGCCGCGCTCCCGCCCCTTTTCCCGCGGGGCAGCCTGGAGGCCTAGGGCGCCACGTGTTCCCAGGCGCAGCGGGCGCCCAGGTGCGCTCAGTCAACGTGGGTTCCCGCCGGGAGGGGGGTGGGAGAGAGGCAGGTGTCCCTAACGACTTTCCCGCCCTCCAGCCAGGGGAGGGGCTGGTCCGGGCTCCATGACCACATTACAGATGGGGAAAGAGCCCTCTTTTCGGAGTGTCAAGACCTTCCCGAGCACTGGAAGGGTAGAGCCCCCTCCTCCGCGAGCGCTCGCTCTCTTGGGTCACGTCCAGCTGGCACAGC